TATACAGGCTTTTTGTGGGCTCAAGAATTAAAATTGCGAGCGAGCCTTTCTCTATGCAATTGCCTAAGGGGCCGGAGCGGAAGTACCGCAGGAGTGAAGGATCTGTTGTTCAGATCACCTTTGAAGCTTATATAAAGCTTACATTATATAAATGTAACATCGCTGTTTTGTACTGACAACGCGATTTGTCATATCCGAATCTAGCGCTAATGCTACTGCAGACAAAACGGGAGAGTTCAGAAAAAAAATCAACCTGTATTACTATGGCGGTATGTACGCTAACGTGTTAAATGTGAGCTAGTGTAAAATATGAACCCTTAGACTGAATGCTATGATACTGAGATTAAAAGCAAGATATTGCTTTTTTTTTATTTTAGATGCATTGATTTTGATGCTTAAAGAGTACGTGCTCTCTTAAATAGCACAGGATATAAAGGGTACATAATAATAAGCATCAGTTTTCCTTGCCCTTTACAATGAGCTATAGGTTTATTTCTACTCCACCCTAATTACCACCCGGTTTCTATTTGCATCGTTTCAACTTACCATTTGACAATGCCATTTTCCTGAGCGGCTAACAGCCGTGTCCTTTGACCATCCTGATGATCCCTCTCGCTGCGTGAATCAGTTTTAGCATTGGAACACCAATGCAGGCCTCTATTCATATCACTGGAAAACCCTCCGACACGTCCGATGATGCCTTGACAATACGGCATGTTTGAGCTTATCTACGTGCTATGGTTGAGCCTAAATGTGTGTATCAGGTCTTGTTTTTCAAAGCTTAAAATAATGTAGATCTAGCAATGGGAGGCCACTGACGATAGCCACTAATTACTATGATCGTGGTTTCGGATCGTACTTCGTCAGTGTCCGTAATCGAAGTACCTCAGAGGTAATACATATTTGGCTGTTAATACGGTATTGACAGTGGCGTCGTTTTTCGCCTAGAGAGGTGATTGGCTATTGGTTGTAGTTGAGATTTGTGTGTGCCGCGCGGGACGCTACGTTTCCTGTTTGTGCACCTTAGGGATTCAACAATGATTTCCTAAATATACAGGCGCATGTGTTCTTCTTCTGTTGAAAATGTTACATGGCAAGTGGTCCTACAAGTTCTCTTTATTTCCCTAATAATGAATGCTTACTACGAAGCATTTTGTATCTGTCGCAGACTGTGAAACCGCAAAGGCTGCGTCTGATGTTAAACTCAAGCGCATCGGTAGGCCGAGGTGTCTGCGGTGATTACGCTGCTTCTTAACAATTTTAATTTGATGTGAAGTTCTTTGTTAAACAATTGTAGAGCGAATGGTGAACCACGTGTCGTTAAAAATGCGGAAGTTCCTGATAGGTATGATGAACTTGAACGCCATAAGCCGTATGACGGTACCAGAACTGTTGTCCTTCTTTATTGTTATCCACTGTTTTCACTTCCGATATAGACAGTGACAGTCGGCCTAATTTCAAATAAATAGTTTGAGGATCCAAAAACATCTTGTTCTCTGTGTTAACATGGTAAACGCCTGACGCCTGTCAGTAAGCTACAGATTCACTGGGCTGTTCATTTGAGCAATAAAAACTGAATGTAGCTATCGGATAATGATACAAAACGGTACATTAGATTAGAATTACAGAATGTAAAGTAGGATTGTGCCTGTCGCGTGCAAGGCTTGAACCGGCAGTCTCTCCCTTCATTTCACAATAAATATAATTGTATGATAACACACTGCACGGTCAGCATCTGATAGATAATAACAATCCAGACCCTGCTTATAAGTTTTATTTTTCTTGTGTTTACTTCAGCTGATCGAGCTTCTGTACTATAATAATAATAAATTTATCCCCACATGCTTATATTTGGCTGTAAAAAGAAAATAGCCATTTTTCTATAAAAGCCTTCATAGTATATCTTTCGGACAAGCGCGGTCTATAAAATTTTTGTATTTCTCAAGGCACATATAGATAATCACAGTTGACGTCACGAAAATTTCTGAACGTCATGAAACAACTAGGAAGATTTATTGCATAACTGCATACCTCACGATTATGATGGCGTTCGTTTATTTCAGTAGTCTTTCTTCATTTAGTACGTTGCATATTTAATTTTTAGCAATCAAAATACGTGTACAATATATTTTTCCATATTTGATGAGGTACATGTAATCCCAAGGTTCCAGCAAGAAAAGCTAGACCATTTGCGTATAACTTTATTCCATGCATGAAACGTAACATAAAACTAGACGATCTCATGGCCATAAAAAAATCAACAATTTACTTATCTGTACAAGGCAGAACCACGACCATGCGCTATGTCATCTAGTGGGAACCTAGGAAATGCTCGCCTTTTCATTTAAAACTTACTGAAGTTACGCTCTGCGGTGCATGTGATGAATTTTAACAGTAGAACTAGAAAATTACGAAGCTTACGAAGGGGCTTAATATCAGTTGGTGTGCCCCAGGTACTTTTCGTAATTGTAGATGACGTAAAGAATTGGAAAAAGATGTTGTTGACCGGAACAAACTCAATGAAAGAAATTTCACAAAAGTCGAACTATACGGCACATTTCCAACGAGTCTGATAAGCTTCATTCTGCGGCGCACTAAACGCATAAGATGACCCGAAAAATGATGGTCAAATAAAAGTTAAAGATGTTTTTTATTCAGCTACACATCGCAAGAGAGGGCTTTCGCTTTGTCAAAGACGACACGATGAATTTGTTGACGAGAGTATGAAGTTCATAGTGCAAGGTTTGTGCCCTTAAAGTAAGTTAAAGCTTTCTCCATTTAGTAAACAGGAGCAAGTGCGTAGGACGGAATTCGATTAGATAGTTGTCTAGAAATGTGTTTTTCCACCAGACACTCCGCCCAACAACACAGTAAAAATATATCATGGCGTTTTATATTGAAGAAAACATGTTTCCCTTTGTACAGGCTGCCAAAGAATGAAGTTGTGATTTTTCTTAAAAATCAGCTTTCAGTGCGCGTGTGTATGTGTGTGAGTACCAGCGGCACAAGGCACGAGCCGGGGTTGGCTAATACCAGCTGCTGGTAAGGGCTGACCTTAGTGGATTGAGTCAGTTATTCCGAAACGGGATAAGACTTGGACAAGACGAAGGATCAAAAACACAACATCTCTCGGCTACATGAATCAATTAGAATATCAAATAATCACTGTCTTTTACAGACAACGAGTGGGGGCTAAGAATGAGGCAAGTCAAATACTAAAGTACTAAACATAGCATAGAACGGCTTGACAACAAAAATTAATCATTTTTGTCTGGATATTTGCCATAGTAGTAGAAAAAGAAAGAGCTCTTTAGATATTTCCTTAAGTGCATCTCGCATGGGTGTCTTATAGAATTTGAACTAGCTGATATTTAATCTCAGTCAGAGTACAGCCAACTATAGATAAGTGTTAGTAAAGCCGCATGCAGAACCTGATGTATGTGGGAATGTGAGTACAAACTCTGTTGACATTTTAGAAGTAGTTTGGCCAAGATGTGGCAGGCAAGGTACGATATATATATATGTCTTTGTAACTGTAAAAATGTTTTCAACTCAAATACCCGCAGGGGTAAGTTTAGAACGTTATCTCACTTAACCTGATTATAAAATATCCGTTTTACCATTTGAAATTTGCTAAACTTTTATCTTTAAACACCAAAAGAGACTATATTATAATAAAAAAACGAAAGACAGAATATTCTTTAGAGACCCTACCTCTAAAATGTTTTAAAAAAGTGCGGTAAAATGAAAATAATCTAATGGTAATCACTCTGCGATTACTCATTCACAATGACTGGAGAACTTTTGAAGAACTGGTTCTGTTTCCTTTGATGGAATACGGTAACGAGACTTATCCATTAAAAAGCCTGGGTAACGGGTTTTTTGTCCAACCCAAATCGACTACTTAACGTGGACGGGTTGAACGGGTTTCTTAGGTCGGCGTAGTCGCGCCCTGGTAAGAGCAACCTGGAGCCGAGTTGTCGAAAATTTTTCCTCTTTGAGAGAAAGGTTGGTTTTCCGTCTAACGTTCATTGGCTTAATAGTGATTTGATGGCAATAATTTGCTTTTTCTCATTTTGCAGGTTCGAAAACAGCGTCGCATTGTGGGGTTAAAAAGACGAAGGCAGTAAGCAGCGTCACTGCTCTGATATATCGTCAAGTTTATATTTCTATGAATATTGTGCGTGCTCCTCAACACATACTGCATAAAAGAAAAACACGTTTGAGTTATATTGTCGAAGACCGTTAGTTAACGTTACATATATTATCGACAGGTAAAATAAAATGTGTTTAATAGAAAAACAGGCGCGGGACGAAGTCTGCGTTCGTCATGTTTGCTATCAGCAGGTGATGTTTATTTGAAGACCACACCAAAGAAAACAAGAGATCTTCTATTAAAAAACTAAGAACTTAATGCGGCCGTGGAAAGCCTAATTATACAATTGGTACCTGTTGTTTTTTCCATTTATTTGTGGGAACATAAGGACTCATGTATGTATATTGCCCATCTAGACCCTACCTAGACCTAGACTTTACATACTTTAGATGTAAAGTGTATCAGGATGTCGATGCGCCTTTTTAGAACATTACAATTATAGCCTTTGAAGTGGTACCAATTTTTTGGATGACTGTTACTTGCAATGAAAATTCAGTCGGCGACAAAATCGCAGTGGCTACCTTTTATTAGTACTTTGTAAAGGTAGTGATCTGCAATTTTCAGGAGTTCGTCATATTTGAGCCATCGGTAAAAATCATCAGTGACGGCTAATATAATATATACACTAAGATAATGTGGGCGTATCCGTCCCACCATTCACCGGAGTTTTTAAAAAAGTTTGTAAAAAATTTCATTTTCACCGACTAAATTTTCAGCAGCTTGTTTGCAATCGAGACTTTTTCCGGTGCCAGGATCGCCCCAGGCTATGACAAGGTTAGTTCGATGGATAGTAGACATAGTGGATGCATAAGCTTTAGGTTAGGTCTCGGATGCCTTTAGCATATTTGACGAACGCAACAGAGTGCTGTCTATAGTACCAATAAGATGTTGTGAGCAAAGTGGCAACAACATTTGTAAGTCATCGTGATTAGAAAGTGAACAGTGTTCTTTAAAACCGTCTGATTTTGCACAGTGAGTACGATTTTGTTCTTTTAATCCGTAATAGGATTGGATTTGGGCGGTAGCGGATAGGTAACGTTCGATAGGTAGCAGGGGATTTGAGAGCACAATATCCGTGCAAGTATTATGTTCCAATGGTGGCTGCCGTTTCGAAGCCTCAAATGACGTAGCGAAATTTGACAACGTTTACACGCAGTAATTCGGCGTCTGCATCTACGTAATTGTTGACGGTCCATATCTAGCGGGTGTAGCCGGCCATGTCGGACCAGAACACTATTACCCGGCTCGACTTTTTTGCACTTATAGTAAATTTTATCTTCTCCCTTTCAGGATGGACCAGTTTGGTTGGAGTGATATACGTTACCGAATGCTTTATATCATGCGTTATCACAGATTGATGATCAAGGATCCTCAATTGGCCAAGAAGGAGGCACTTGAGGAGGAAGGAAAATCGAAACGGTTAGAGCGAGTAAAACTGCGTTATCAGCGTCATAAGTGGAGACAGCGGCCGTGGTATATGAGAGTACGAGGATATTGGAAATATTTTCTCCTTCAAGGAGAAGAGTACAAAGCTTATATCTAAAAAAGATGGAGCGATTGGGCACATAATTAGAGGTCTTGTTGGTGCTGTTGGAGCTGCTGCTGCAGTTTCACTAATATATACACAACGACCATATATCATCAGAAAATGCGATGGACATCGGGGTTGTTACAGAAGAAGGGGAATCAGATGTACAGCATCGTCTTAACGTCGAAGAGCTTATGAAATTATTGAGACTGCTTTGAAAGGAACCCGAAAAGCTTTGTTTGAATTAACTCGTCAGTATAGGAAACGTTATAGTAATAAGTGTCAAAAAGAGAACCCATACTACCCATACATGGTGATTCGTAGAAGGTATAAGGGGCAAACGGGATAGAACGGACAGAAGGCGAACATTGTCAAGCGAGCGTTAATATTAAATTTGTCACAATAACAACATATTTTAATCAAAAGATTTTTTTAAAGACTGTATTATCAAACGATAGATATTATGTTTGTAGAGCCAAGTATGAACTGGAGGGAATGATTCAACTAATAAGTATATAGCACTTTATAATCGAGCTCGTCTGCGTTGTACTTTTTTTTACCTCCGCGGCATGTACCTACATTGGAAGATCCAGTTTTAAAATCGCTTAATTTTGCACATACGAAATGTAAGAATAATGAGCAGTATCAGCGTTATTTTAGTACATCGTTTTCAGAACTAGCTAAGCCTAAGGATGGTATGGAAATATCTCAATTTAATTCGAAGTACCTTTCGATGTCTCATTCAAAAACTTTCCTTACTCGTTCCATACGGCCCGTATATCTACAGTGGGAAAAGGAAGTTTCAGAAATGATCGTTCATCGACTCCTTGGCTTAACCTTGATTATCAAGATGATCGATTTTCTAATTCCCCGGATTATCATTTGTTATGTTTCTTGTAGCCGCCGCATAATGTTGGAGTATACACGCAATCAGATGCTGTTCGAAGTAAAACTTACGAAGCGGGAGAACCGAAAGAAATTAAATTTACATTATGAAATACTGATAACAAATATGTTATCGATAGAGAATGGTCAACAATCAAAAGCAGTTATCGTCAACTTGGCCTTAAGTACAATTAAAAACGCTTACTGGATACAAATGGGTCATTGATCACTTCATGGAAGAATAAAAAAATATTAGGAATTAGTTCCTTTACATCGATCAAATGTTGAGACGCAGTCCTTTGAATTTTATGACTTTTTATGCTATATTAGTAAATAAAAAGGAAGCCCGCCGTTTTCTTCCATTGAAACGAAGTTAACTAACGTTACTAAATGGAATCTAGCATGGAATTTGCCTTTACCTGTATTTAGGTTATTACGTGACCTAGAAGCCGCCCTGTCATATTGAATCCTCCACTTAGAAGAAAAGACGCTGACTACGTTGAATCCATGGGATCTATTACAATACTCCTAACAAGTACCTGCCCAGAAGTCAGATATACTTCGGAATAATTAAACATTCTAGTTAGCAATTGATGCACCGCATTGATTTGTTATCCTTATACCTGCCAAGCTATTTCATCTGATCAGACGTCTAGATGGGTGGTAAACGAATATTCATTCGCACGACACCCAGGGATTCGTTATTGAACTTTACCAAATTTCCTCTTCATACGGGTCTGTTCTTACCTATGTTAGGTTTTATAGGATCGATACTCCAATAATGATATCCCCCACCAACCCCCAATACTATGTTACTCTTACAGAAATATAAAGCTTCAATTTACGATAGTTTACAGTATTTAACGATTTTTAGATTTTCGAGTTAGCTAGGTAGAAACCTAATATTCTTAATATCCTAATAGTAAATAAAAATAATAATAAAAATAGAATACTGATAATAACAAGGCTTCGCGATGCTACGGCGTCAGTGTTAACGGATGTGTGTGGCGCTCACATTGATCTCACGGTACCTTCAGTCACCGCAGTTTTTACCGTCGGATCTAACAGCTCAGCAGCAGAAATTGATCTGTGTGACGGACCCCATCTACTCATACTAAATCAGTACGGCTATTTATTGGTTTGGCGGATTTCGTCGAAAAAATCTGCTGCCGCAAGATGCTGCGACTCTGTGTGTATCCTATATGAAACACAATTCAACTCTACTTCTCATCCTCTAGTAGTCGACAAATATATGAATTCACCGCAGAGACGTATTGGATGCGTCCACATATAGTGGGGCCATAGTGGTGGTACCGGTTTATTATGGTTTTGGTTGTCCAGGCCGCAGGCCTACCAACTTTTGCTGAGCTTGCCCTTGACGGCGAGTTTAACTAGAATGAGAAACGTCCACTGACATTAACAGGCAGTGAAGGTCACTGTTGTTGTCGCTGCCATTGGCAAAACAGCCCTAGACCGTGTTTACACCGGTTTGCGTTGACATTTACCGAGCAGGTCGTGTTTAACAGCGAATGGTTGGTACCACTCAGCTGATGTATTCGATATGTGGGCTTCGTTGATTAACAAGGTGCACACGACGAAGGGCTCCTCGTTCTTTTAAGTAGACACAAGTTAAGAATCGGAAAACTTAGGAAGCAACAGCGATAGTAGCAGTACCAGAAGACAACCGTACGAGCAAGGACACAAGTAACAGTACAGTTTGAAGTGTCCTATTGAAAAACTTCAAAATCGTGTACAATGCCGTCTAAATGACACTCTATCGTATGGACTTACAAGTCTATGGATGTTATGTACGATTTTTTACATTGTACATATACGGCTTAGGTCGAACCGAGTGCATTCTATAAGCGCGAGGTCTTCCTGCTTTCATATACAGCGTACATGATATGTAGGCACGAAACTACTGCTTTCCGTCTTAAACAAAAGTCGAAATATGTCGGCCTAAGCAATAAAAAATAGCGACGGAAATAGAAGTGCACATAGAATTTTGTCGTGAGCATATCGGATAAGTTAGTGACTTGGGAATTATTCAATACTCAATTAGTAAATCAATCAATTAATTAGACGCTCACATAGCGTATCATGTCAGCCTTTTCCATAAAAGATTCGTGCAGTGTAAAGGTCTGGAGTAGCTTGTTCTATCACAGTAGAACCAAATGCCAGTGTATTTCCTGTTAAATGTGCGAGACGAGCCATATTTGGAAAGGTTATGGCTGTTAGCTAAATGCTGAAAACGACTTCCAAAAATTGACTGGAAACGTGTCGTGTTAATATGCGGTTCGTTTACCTTAAATTAACTGTGTTTATTTTTTACTGAATTTATTTAACTTTAATGCGTAAATAACTTCAGTAAATAGAGCCATTATTAGCTAAACAACAAGTAGGAACTAGTCCTTGTTTTAGAAATACGTACGATCTAGGTAGAATTCGCTGTATCTAATACGTGCTAAGTACTGTGACGGTCAACATTGGTATATATCTATTCGATCAATGGTGTTCTAGCTGCTAAACATCCCGTTTTCACTTGTTTGTAAGTTATGTTCCTATACTGTGAAGGATATTTCAGACGTCAAAGTCTTGCAGTTTTGTGGATATGTTTCTTAAATTCTATTTCTAGTAAATATCTCGTTTGATTTAATTAGAGATGAAGATATCACCGAACTGTTCGCTCATAGGAAGAAAACTCGCCAAAAATTAAACCTTATAAAAGTTGCTGCATGCATTATTGTCTCGTTGCCTACGAAAACTCGAAAGCGGGTACCAAACATCGCAAAAGTTCGACGATAAATAGACTTTGAAATAGCGACGAGAAAATAAAAGTAAAAGAGAAATATGAACTATTCAAAAAGAGTACTTTTGCTTAAGCGTAACAGGCAGTTTGAACGGAGGCAGCTTCTGTAAACCCTTCTTGGAATCAAACAGAAGTCTGCATCAATACTTAGGAAATTGCGGTAGTTGGCATGATCCTGAAACTGACGCAAGCGCGTGGGTCACCGGCAGATTCTTTCATCACGTTTTACTTTCCAAAACCGGCGTATTTTTAACATAACTTAAAAGAAAAGCATATACTATTCATTAACACCAAGGTAGTACCTTACAACTGGTTTTCAATGGACGGCAAACGCCTAGTCATTGCACTCGTATCGGGGTGCCAATCAAAATCAGAGGATTCTCTGCTCAAAGAAGTTCTGCTTGATCAGAACAACCTTTTCCGTTGGATACGGTTACTTAATGGTAGTTGAAGTGACCTATGTACAACAGCGTCTAAATGCTGATCGACAGCTGAGCAGGCTTCTCCTGGAGTTCGTCGACGCATCTCGTAACAAGGCGTTTGCTACCAAAAAGCTTTAGCGTCAGCATACCTACGCCCGGATATGTGGCGAGTCGCTTCCATCTACCTACGTACTGCTATATGAAAATATTTCCATAAACGAGTTAACTGAGCTGAGCCACCTAATTAGACTCAAAGTTCTCCCTGTCATTAAAAATGATGTCGTTGATTCTTAGCTGAGCGAACTTATCGGCGGCTAAGCCGTTTAGCTTACAAACTACGGTTCGAATCAGGAGTCGAACTATGTTTTTATCAAGTTATTCATTTAAAGAAAGTAAATGATCTTAAGCAATCTGTTGACTTCGCAGACTCGATGCATTTTCTTTTGCTGAACAATTTCGAAAAAGAACTCAGTACTCTGGTTGAGACTGACTGTGGTGCAAATCGGGCTTTTCCGCTACTGATAACCCCGTTGGTGTTGAGCATATTGTGAAATACATGGAACAACTACATCAAAAGACCGTTCGCAAGCGTACTCCTAAATATCTCTACCTCCGATGTTTTGTCGAGAGAAACAAGGATTTCGACCCGAAGGATCATTGAAGCAGACGCCAGGTGATGTTCTGGGTTTTAACCTGTGTGAAAAGCGACGCTTTTTAGAGTCCATTTATCAAAACAACTATAAAAAAATCTACGATGGAAATTTCTATCAAGGTATTCTCCATAAGGGCGACTGGCCTACCATTCTGAAGCAACGCTCAAAGAAACAGAATTATTTTTTAGCCAACTTTTACGGCTTCGATAGTGGCGAAACTTTTTCGAGAGCGATACTTCCATTTACAGAGTCGTTCCTTGGTCTCAAGGACCTTCCCGTTACTGAGCGGATCCCAAATGGAAATGGGATCCTGTATAATCTAACGATTCTTTGCACGATCATTTGACGCGACGGGAAAGCCCTCAAAGAGCACGTGGAGTTTGTCGTTAAACGCTGCTGCAACGGGGCATCTAGTGTTAAAGATTTGATCGGAACTGCTATTCAGAAATACTACGAAACTGAGGTTCACGTTAGGGCGGGTCTTCGGCTTCATGTTGAATAATTTTCTGAGGTTACGCAATTTAGTACACATATGCAAACTCTGGCATTGTTTGATTTTCTTTTCCTTATTTTGAAGTCGATTGACTGAAAAGATATAGACAGGGTGAAAGACTTTGCTGACATATTCTCATGGCCCTGCAGTTTCGTGGAGAACTTCAAACCTATATATGTAGTTATAAAGTTTACTCAAGTTAAAAACGGGCTTAAAATTATATGGCCATGTGGCCATGGCCAACATGTGCTGAAATAAAGCGCGCAGGTAACAGGCTTTATGCAACAGCTAGACTAAGATCATGAACCTTTCCTTCCATTAGTGTAACGTATAATATTTTAAAGCTATAACCCAGGCCCTGATCTTCGGAACTGAGATAATCATGTTACATGGACGCGATCAAGTTGTTTGTCTAACAATATCCCTATTGCACAGCCCTCGAATATACGCTACGTACGTCATTATGACGCTACGTGTCAATGGTAGAGGAAACGAGCGAGCATTGGTCAGCTACTCGACTAAAACAGGCAGTCTGCAAAGGGGGTGTCTTTAAAAGCGAAAATGCCAGCGACATCAACGGAGAGAAGGAGAGACAAACCATTCATCCTCAGCCGGCTGACAGACAATCAACGAAGTGCCAGGCTCACCTAGACCCAGCCCAGTGGCCTTTTTGTGTGCATTCCGTCCAAAAAAACTGCTGCTTTCATTATTTCGTTCCATAAATTAATCTGTGGACAGTATAGAACGCTTCACAGTTAAAACTCACCGCATGCATATAGGCTATGACATTTAGTTCGGGGAACCAGTACGTCTGCACTATATGCGTACGATACAGCCACTAGCAGAATACGTGAGTACTGCATTTACTTTAGACTCGAAAATATATAATATCATAATGGTTATGAGTGTTTTGTTTATCGGTGTCGAGCTGGATGGCCTGTACATTTCTCACCTCTTATGAGGGCAAGGTCCTATTAAAGCCAATTAGAATATCCAACAAACCACAAAGAAGGGAAATTCAATAGAATTGATTTTAAGTGAAGAAATTTTGTTCAAAAGGCTACAATGTGCCCAAAAAACATAGCATCCGAAACGTCATTTCGCGTCATCGGGTAGATTGTGATGTAGCGTAGAAGCTTGCTATCCAGATCAGCTTGCATGTCGCAGTGCCGCTCTTACTATAGTCCCATGCAGACATCTTCTTCATACCTCCAATTTTAAATAAGTAGTACTTGTGCAGCTAAATGTTGATAAATTAGTCCAAATTTAACTCGGATGGAAAGCTTATACAGTAGAAGCGGATTGGCGGTCTAACGATACTTTCTGAATCTATATTTCTAGTTTTACGTACACTTTCATCGTTGAAAATTGTTTGCTATCTAAGGGAGTTCACCTAGTGTGTGTTAGGCCTTTCTATATTATTATGAGTTATTTACATAATAAGTGTTACGGATTTATAAGGAAGTCAATTTCTTTTGCGCTCACCTGCAGGATTACATGATTGAAATGGCCGGTTTAGCAGTGCTTTATCTATTATTGTATGGATGCAATAGATCATTATTAGGGCTATATGTCCAATATAGAACGTTTAGATAGGTAATGGTCACCTCGTTTTGATTGGTATAACATTCGACTTTTTTAATCGTCTTTGTGAGCGAAAAAGATATGGCAGCTGTTACTGCTAACGTTCTGTTAAATTAAGAGTTAAGTAGTTAGCGTCATATCAACCAAAGCTTAGGTTCGAGGTTTGCGCAAATTGGCCAGAGGGTTTCGCTTTCTGCCAGTACAACCTAAGACTGGTGGAGAATTGTGCGTTACTAGACCAGGGCAGAAGTTCCGTAATCGTTAAGCGTATCGATGGTAACATCGTTTAATGTACGCTAGATAATGCGCTCTGGCAACAACCACGCGTGCTGACGTAATGTTGATCAAAACGATGCTTGTAGCCAGTTGTCCGTATTAAGCTACAGAGTGAAATCAATCAGGCGATGAATATGGCCTTTAAGTATCAGCCAATACGGACCGAAGTCTGACTCTAGAATTTTCGAGAAGCACTTCGTCAAGTTAGGAAAGCAAGTATAACTGCTCGTGACATTGGGGTTTTGACTTAGACAAAAAAAAATTCCGTATAATTTAGAGAATGCCCACACATGTTGGTGTTCGGTTTTTATAGATTACTTTTGGGTCAGCATAGCTTAATAGAGTATAGCGACCATATTTTGCACTGACCTTATGATGTAAACAGACATACGAAAAAAGATGCATTAGTGAATATATATGATAGATTTTTGTTATTACAGAATGATGCAATGTAATGAAATTGAGATTCAAAATAATGGGCACTGTCACATGCAGAACAACATAGCGGAGTAGGCATAGTGGCTTAATGACATCATGTGTTGGGAGGATCCTCATTCATCGAAGGTTGGGGTACTTATGGAGTGCTAATGTACATCTACTTCAATTTTTGTAGGTTTTTTAAATATGGACGCAGAAGCTCTAGCCGTCGCGCTCGTATCTGGGGGTCGAGGGGAATCAGAGAAGTTCCGGCTGATCCGAAGCAGCTTTCCAGCCGAAGGCCCTGGCCCGTTTACAAGAGCTGATGTAGCATTCGTGCAGAGTTGTTTAGGACGCGATAGAAGGCTTGTCAGGCTTGCCCTTGAGTTCGCAGACGTTTCATGCAATCGGGACTTCGCTATTGCGGAATTAAGCAGTGGAAACACCATCACCTCAAGACATGTAGCGACTCGTTTCCACTGGCTGTACACTACTGAAAGTATACTCAACGAAGCGTTTTTATCAAACGAACTAGTTAAAATGAGCCATTCAACGCGACTCAAGGTGTTCAATAGCATCGGAAAGAATGTAACTGACGTCCAATTAGGAGACCAGCTATGGAACTTTGTGAAAACAAAGTTCTTATTGCGCGACTCGAATAGGTTACTGGCAGCCTGTAGCAATAGCCTCATCCTTCGTGAAGTGTCCACCAGCAAAATTGTTCAGCTCACGGATGCCCAGATGCTGCAGATTCTTCAAAAGAGGTTTGATTCGGGCATTGAGCTACTGCAGGCACTGGCTTTTGCACAGAAGAACAGCACATTTAGGAAGCCGGTTGCGTTCGACAATTCGTTGCATTATATTCTCCTAAAGGATTTTGAGAAAGGATTCAATATACTCACAGAAACCGCTATAAATAAGAGCCTCGGTGCCAATCGTACTCGATCGTTACTAAAAGCGTTTCGGTCCGGAGGAAGTAGTTCTGCTTCTAGGGATCGCATAGTCAAGTACTCAATCTTCCTTCACAGGAAAGCACTACGTAGGTATGCCCCTACTGATCTATACCTAGAATGCTTTGTTAGGAACAACATACATTTATACTCGGAAAATGACTTGCAATGGAGGAAACAAGCATTCAGACCCGAAAAACAGGCCAGTGTCCACATACTGATGTCGTGGTTGACTGGCCTTTCGATGTCTGTCAAAAGAGAATTCCTAGAGGCCCTATTTCGGAAAACGTACAATAAACCAATAATGGATGTTCCCACAAAGGTGTTTCCAGAAATGCTGTACATTCTTAGCGAAGAGGAGCGGTTGCGCATTGTAAATTGGCGACTGCAAAAGAAAGAGTACTCCTTAGCGCGAATAACGTGTTCGGCGGTACCCTCAACCAAAGAGTACTTTTGGAGGTCGATGCTTCCATGTTACCTATCGTTTCCCGATTTAAAACACCTCTTAGCAGTAGAACGTAACGTGCGCGTACGTGAAATACTTTACCGCCTTATAGTTACCTCCGCAGTAATACAATGCGATAGCAAAGCTATCGAGATGCAACTGAACTTTGTCGTCGAAAGATGCCGCAGTGAACAGTCGATCATTTACAAAGCAATTTTTGAAACTCTTGAGGAATATTATTGTCTAAAAAACCGTGTTAAGGCAAATATATGGCCTGCATTAAAAAAACTCTTTGACATGATTCTGCTCAAAGAGAGGAGACAAGTGAGTGTATCTTGTTTACGATTGCTGGTCCGACTGTTAGAAAAAGTTAATCCGGACGATATAGATACGGTGAAGCAGATGGCTGAAACTCTTACAAAAGTGCATGTTACTTGCCAACTGTTATGGCCCGAGAGCATTATGGCGGAATTCAAGCGACTACATCGGCGCAGTCAAACGCTCGTTTTGAAAACAATTCTAGAAGCTCAAGAGCCATATTTGATGATTAGGCAAAAAGAGGGGTATTCTAAAACTCTACATATGTGGCGAATCTTTGAGGCCGTCGATAACCTGAAACTAAAGATAGACTTCCGTCAGTATCCCAACAGTCTGGCTTTTCTGAAGCACTTAGTATCAGGTGATGATAAACGCGCATACTGGGAGAGTAATAAAATCGTACGTCGAGCATATCAACTTATCAAGGATTTTTTAACAGAGGGAGACTCCGTTAAAAAAGGGGTCGATGGAGAGCACGATGCCCATTTTACATATGTCAGAATTCGACATGCCAACGATGTCGCCAGTTGTGTCGACATCAATGTTATCCTAAGCGGAACGCCTCTTGCGATCCTGATTCGGATTTGTCAGCTGCTGGCCGCTAATGATGCTATAACCCCACGAATGCTTCAAATGTCCTTGAGCCTACTGGACGATCCCGAGCGCCGTGTTTCAGCTGCTCGTTTTTTAGCGCTATGCCTGCCAACCTGTGACTTGCCAAAGCACTTCAATGGTTATTGTCCTGAACAAGATATTAGCAAAATTGACCCCGCTTACTACGAAGTGCAGAAGGCCATGCTCAACGCCACCAAATTAATTAGTGACTCTGCGATCGCATTAGAGATAATTGGAAAGTTTATGCAAGGCGACTATCTGAAGATGGCCGTCCATGCTTTTAATTACCACTGCTCAAAGGCACCACCTGCCATCGTGCTACCGCTGCTAACAGACGGTTTAACCAATAATAGCTCGGTAGTTAAGCAGAAGGAGTTTCTTCGCTGGTTTTTCATTTATACATCTGACCATAATGCAAAACTAAACGAGATCTTTGCGTCGGCTAAAAGCAGCTCCGTAAAGCGGGAACTGCTCAAGATAGCTTATCGTAAAGCGGAAGCTGACGGGGACGAGGCTTGGCCAACCCTACAAGCCTGTCTTAACATACAAGAGACGAGAGATAAGCAAACGCTAATTCTTCTTTTTACTAAAGATTGCATCGATGATCGCTTAAACGATTATCTTCCAGATTTGTTCCGCTTCATTTTGACGTGCGCAGAAGACATGTCGGATATACATAAGTTGAAATTTAGTAGTTTCTTAGACCGAGCCGCTTGTTACATATCAAGAATTCCTCAGAATCTTGCGCAAAGCCTCTGTGTTGCGGCCCTCGAACAGGCAAAGTTATCCGCAACTGCTGAGCAATTAAAGTACTGTTCAAAGCCTGAACTTAGTAACTACATCGGGCGTTTTGCCTTGCAGAACGGCCAGACCAATTTGAAATTCCTTGAAGATCAACTCGAGTTATTGCTGAAGGAGGCTGACGACCATATAGAGCCGACTCTCTGGATAATAATTCGAACGATTTGTAATGCAGTCGTGGAAAGTAGGCGTATTGATGGGGCTGATCATTTATCAGTTCTTCAGGCCATGCATAGGACTCTAAGATCGCAGATTGCGACCTGTTTATTGCAATCGGTGTACGTTGAACTTATACAGATTATAATGGACCTGGTACCAGCAAAAAATGCTGACCAAACCTCTATGGTATCCTTCGTTCTGAATTACACAATGAGAGGGATCGAACTTATTTGCGAACGCCTTGATGAGTTTGGTAATCAGATGACTGGCCTTTTAGCGCCACTGCTAACAGACGCTATAGAGATCATTATTGGGAAACAAACGGAATACCACGCCAATATGGTTGAGACGTACACGGCAACGTCTCCAATCCGTCATGCTTGGTTATTAATCGACTGCCTTCCGCCTAAAGGGAGCTTAACTTATATAAAGAACTCAGAAACCTATGATCAATTTATCGATAAAATCCAGCATAGCTCAAATGTAGCTCTCAAAGTTATGCTTAAATACAAACTAAACGTTCGAAAAAGGAAAATAGTTACAATTTAGTGAACGCTTATACTGTAGTTTGTAAATCGAGGACTATTAAAGTGTACGCTTCAATATTCTTTTTAGTGTATAATTTTGTGTGAAGTAAGTCATTAATAGCGAGATCGAAGTTAAGGAAGTTGTAGCACTACACGAGGTGCTAGGATATGAACGACACGTTGATTACGGTGCAACGCTCCTCGAAGCTCCATCTTTGTTGCTTGTTGGTATTGTCTCCCGCTGTCTGTGTTCGCTTAAGCATTTCTGTACATCTCCATCAACTTGTTATTTTTGCGAAATTAATTTATCCTAAACCTAAGCTAAAATTATCTCGTAATTTTTACCTTAATAATACAACATCTGTTTTCCAATTACCTAAGCTATCTTATTAAATCTACTATGAAAACTACTGAAACTCATACCAGTAAATTAATTGTTTCCAGGTGAGCTCTCACTCCCGTCGTATGTAATAGATACTGTAGGTTTTCACCACATTGTCCTACTAATAGCCACGTGCTAAGTATCATTTTTGTCTCTGAGCATCGTCGTCCCATAAACAGATTTCTTTAGCTGCTGATCTATTGCTTCTCAAAATCTCCATTATTAAGGTGTAACTGCGATAAGGCCTCAATAAGAGCTTTATAAGATCTTCAAAATTTCTGTCCGGTTGGATAAGCTCTGTGCCTGTATTTCTTTCATCGTGATGCCAAGGTTACTCATCGAGGACTGGCTTGCGTTTTTGAAAAAAAACCTGAAGTGTGCCAACTGGAAATAAGGACTAATTCTGCATAAATCGTTTTGCTGGATATCGTCTATTTATAGTTCTAAAAAAATCGTCTACTGTTAAAATCGATCAATCATCGGTCTCCTAAAGTTGATTCGGGCTTTGATCTATTCACGTGGCTTATTATACATTCGATGAATACTTTGCAATTAATTCCCGTATTATTAGATTAATGTGCTCCGAACGGCATAGCCGTGGCAGTATAAATATCGCTTGAGGCTTATGTTTGTTGTCTGCTGTTGTCCTCGCCCGAAATCGATCACCTGGATACCTTTAACTAAAAAAAAATATGCAGCAAAAACAGAATTCAGATACGGTGCGATTTTTGCATACTTTCTCAGTTTTTTTTGTGTTTACTAGGTTCTCTTTTTACGGTTCCAGATGTTCTATTGGTTTCCGCTTTGTACTTCAAAATTTAGTGGGGAAAATCAGAGCCTTTAGATACTGATATTCAAGTAAAGAAACCTTCGTACAAAAAGTTTGGAACCTTATCAAAATACAACATTGTAATAAAACGTTGCAGGTACCTGTCTGTCTGTCTGTCTGCATGCATAACTGTTCACGCATCACGCCCCGGTTGAATGTTCAGGTTTATTAAACTAAAGAAAAATAATCTACTACGTAACAAAAAACTGGGCTTGGCAAAAAACAATACACTATTTTAGCGAGAAGCATATAGCACCACTTCGTTCCGAATCTCAATTTGAAATTCCTCCATTACACGTCCATCGTGCCAATGGCCCAATGCTATTATTATTTGCACTAAATATAGTAAAGCAGTTTACTTAAAGGAGACTTGAAAGAAACTACAACACTGTTATTATAATTCTGTAGCATATTCACTTGCGTGCTTGGTCCTCTACGATTGTCGACAAATTCGGGCCTTGCGAAATTACACCTTCTCATTAATGTACAACCGCGGGTCGAAGACTAATCGATCCGTCCGAACAGTCCCCGTATGATGCTGACGCGTTAGAAGGAACGCGTGTTGCTCGATCGACCAGTTATGAAAACTGAAGACACAAACTTGCTCATCATATTTGAGGTTTAGGCCACTCAACCCGCGCATAGCGTTTTGTTCAAGAATGATCCGAGTTCATCCTCTCAAGTATTTATTTTGTAATTCAGCTTGTAGCAATCCCCATCGGAGGCAACGATGATGCCACCATTTTTTCTAGCTCTAAACCTAAGATTCTCCTGTCGGGGTAACCTGCAGCTCGCTTTACGATTTTTGCTTTACTCCATCGCGTCAGGACGTCGCAGGAAACTAGGTCCAGTTCATAAGGTTATGGCAGCTGCTTGCTTTATAAAAACTAGTGTACGTGTAGTAAAATGTGTCTGTATATGGAGGACATAAAACACGTACCACAGCTCTGATTTCTTGCATCGGACATTTTGTTGATAGTACTCTTTGGTGAGCGTGGACGCATAAACGCATAAAATGGCCTGAAATAGACCAATGTCAACCTGTATTGATTCGGCGGTCCACAAGCGTGCGTCGTTTTACTCCTACGTTCTCGGCTGTAACCGCTGTAATAAGTTTCTCAGGATGACGATCGTCATCGAGGAAGTTCTGTCGGTCTCCGAAACCCTTGAACCATATTTTCAGTTGAGCCTTACCGAATGATTGACTTTTCCGCAGAATGTTTTACCTATGTACCGCAAAAGCACGTGCCCCTTTTGCCCAAGAAACGTGAATCATACGCAATCCTTCGATGGCGGAAGAATTCAAAACGACTTATTTTTGAACGAAGTGCTATGCAATTATAACTTAACCGAATAGCTTTTCTTAGTACCTAATTATCGTCACTGACACCTAACCGAATAGCTTTTCTTAGCACCTAATTATCGTCACTGACACCTATCAATTTTAGCTTGAACTCCCTAAGTTATAGTAGACTCGCCGTTTTCGCGCGGTGAACTTATTCAACATTTTTAGTTTGCCGTGACAATTTCATTACATAATGACCTACCCTAATTAAATATTTAAGTTCAATAACAGCGCTTTTCACTTTTACAATTCTATGAATAGTAATGCATATGTATCTGAGCTCAGCAGCTTGCTATTGTAACTTGGATATATTAAAGATGACCACTTATTAATCGCCAACACCCATGAACTCCATGTCCGTCAAGTGCTAATATTTACGTTGAAACATCTTCACAGTCCACCAACGACTTGACGTTTTTGCTGTTTTTTTTTGCAATCTAAAAAACAATTTTTCTGCCGTCGCTCGCAATGGCTACTGCAGCTCAAGCCATTTCGTTGCTCTGAAGTTCAGAAAATTTGTCAATTTTGTATTTAATTAATCAATTTAATATACGAAATCATCGCGCTCGCTCTTGTGCCTACATGTCATCCTCATCTGTGTGATTCTTTTCGACAGATGAACGCAGCTCCGGTCCATCTTCTTCAAATTGGTTCTGATAGTAGCCATCATAGGCGCGAAATAGTCGGTCCAAAATCGGCCGATCGACCCGCATACAAGATGCAGGTACGACGCTTATGCTTCGTTGCACGCTTGCATCATTCAGCTTTCTGGAAACAAACGCACATACACATTCAAGAAGCTACAACACATTAAATCTTGTGAAACTTCTCACCGAATCTCTCTACCCAGTAGTTTCAACAAATACAGATGTTGTCCGAATATATGATAACGTTTCACCGACATGGAGGTGCCCCATCACCACGAGGAGTCCGATAGTAAATCCTGCTTTTTTTCCCAAATTTTTGCATGTATATATACACTTCCTATTTATAAGTAAACCCTTCCGCTGCATCCTTCATGATTCTCTGTAGTAATAATACTAATTTGCGCTGAACTCGTCTAAAAAGTCTGTATTAAAGACGAAGTTGCACTCAGGAAGCATACGTTTAATGATTTGTGAAAACCTCGCCTGATTGAAATGACGTGGTCTCTGTGTGTAGTTGTCATAAATATACATATGTTCCGAACGGTGAAACCTTAGTTCTTACTAATTTTGATATATGTTTTCTTATAATGAAATAATTACGCAGTGAATCTATAAGAACTAAGGTATCGCCGTATCATTTCGGAGTCGACCCTTTTTTCGTTATGATGTTGACGTCGGCACCGCGGGAGTGACTGAACCCGAGGTAAGCGAACGTAAACGTGATAAGACAAACATGTAAATAGTAAATGTTTGTTTTATCGCCTTTTTTTTTTTTTTTTTATAAGTTGGTTGCAGAATGTTTCTTCTTGTTATATGGGCAACACGTACCCTGAAAGGTCATCGAGTGTGAGGCCGGTTACTGGTGATCCATTAAAAGCAATCAGGACATCACCTGAATACACGTTGCAGCCTAATCTACTGTGCACGTGCAGTAACACAGTGACTTTCACGAAAGCTTTCGTTGTTGGTTCATAGTAGGAGCCTACCCGAAGTGTGAACATATTGGAACCAATGCCCAATCCAATCACGACCTGCAAGCGTGCACGACGCAGAGGACTCTATATTACACGCGTACTCACTACGACGTCGCGTGAGGTACAAACATGCATGCTAGAAGAAACGTAAAACAGAAGTGATTGAATGCATTACCTCAATCGGTTTAAAATGTGCTAGAACAAGACGCATATCTATTCGGCTCAAAAGTAGGCGCATTGTCCCAGATGAGAGCACCGTCACAATCACCTCATCAAAGCCCGGAGCGGCCATCAGAGCTTCTACTTCCGCCCGCGAACCGTCGATAACGCTCACCCCATTGACAGCTATCACGACGTCACCCTCTGTTAAACTAGAATACTGCAATAGGGATAATAGAGGATTTTGAATGGAGTGTAAAAATCGTCTGTAGATAGGCTGAGATATTGTGCTAAAATAGAAAAGCAAGCGAAAATCTACATTGGCTCCGTGTAGTTTGTTTTTTGCCAAGAGTTTTTTTAGCTGTATCAAGCGTAAGCTGTATCGAACGTACGTTGAGTTGAACTGCATAGATTAAGAAAAAGAATGCCACAAGAAGTCTCATCACAGAATTCTTAAGAGTCAAGATTGAAGTTCTTTATTGCAGAACTTACTTTTATTCATTAAAATCTAATCATTTCAGTAATAGCAGTAATGAATAATATTCCTTGTCACTACAAAACAAATAAGCCAAAACAAATTTCTAAGGTGTCGGTAGCCTGCTTTGAAATACAGTCTTAACTACAGAATCTTGGGTTTTCACAAATTGACTGTGAGAACAGTGTCCAAACAAAGAATTGACTAGATAATAGGTAATTAGTCTTATTAATAATAAAATTACGAAGTTAACTTTGGAAATGGAAACATTGTCTGGAACACAACGTTCCTCATGTGTATTATTTTTAAAAAGGTTTAGGAAGTTGCAATCATAATTAAAGAAGTTTACGGATTTTTACTGTTGTTAGGCCTGAGCTTTGCTGTCTTATATAAAAGTACTTTTTTTATATAAGAAAGACAACAGTAAAGATTTAATAACACTCAAGTACTTCAGCTTTTAAAAAGGTGTTTTCAATGCTTCGACCGATGCTAATGTTTTCTTAACGAAAAAGCATTGCGGAACTATATGCAGAACTTCTTCACCAATTTTGTGACCATGCGTAGGCTTGTTTAATCGAAGGCTATACAACTATAGTCGTACTCTATATTATTTCTAGCGTCATCATCATAGTTGTCTGAACACGCCGTTCGATATACATTCTGTTCTGCTCACCGCTGTAGGGTCATTAGGCGCGATATTTGTGACAACGTAGTAAATCCTGCAGTCTTCACCCAGGGTTGGCTCCAACCGGGCTGCGACTCGATGGCTACGTCCTTTAGGTATAGCGATGTCTATTCGCTCTGCTTGCAATGGGTTCTCAAGTGACTTCGTCGAGTTAAAATCCAAAACGTTACTGTGTGCGAATCGCTGAATACTTTTGAACAAAGGCGCAGACGATGCAGCTTCTACGGGGATACCTGACCGCATAACCTCTCGAAACATGGTTGACATATACGTAAACAATGGCTGATGTCCGCCTTTCTTATCTGACACAAAAGCGTTAAGTGATTATTTACACATTCACGTATTCCAGTGATTATTTATGCATATTCACGTATATACGCATGCTACAGAAATTGTTTGTTTTTTTTTTGCGAAGAACTCACAATTCATAACTTTGGTATGTCGCTAAGTTTATCAGTAGGTAAGATTCATCAGTGTCGTAGTACTGGCTCTTCGCCGAGGTAGGTACGCCTTTATGCCTCGATTTTGCTAATGAGGGACAGTTATTTACACGATTTCAGAAAAATTCAAGAGTGCTCTTTGCGTAAAATTGTAGTCAAATGCAGACCTAAGTACTAAGACAATCTTAACCGGAGGAAGTTATAGAAGCTTTTGCTACGCGCGACTCCTCAACATGGAAATGATCACTGCGTTTAAGTTAAACCTCCTCACCAAAAAAGTTTTATTGACAAATAGCTCAAATACGAAGCGCTAACGCCGTTACCTTGGTTGCAGTTTAGTGCTACATCTATACTCGGTTCGAATCTGTTTCGTAGCAACGCAATAATGCGATACGCGTTGATTGGCTCGCGCTTGGTATCAGGCTATAATTATTATTGTATATATATATATTATAATTATTTCGCAAGTGGCCCAATACACGGTATCGTTACACACCTTTAAGGTCTTGTACTCGTGGAAGCGGCCGTGACTTGGTCTCAGGGGAAGCCTCTGGCGAAAGACGCATGATGAACGAATCAGTGAGGTGTTCTCGATGATCTCTGGTATTTTTTCCTCTGGCTGCCTCATACATGACCTCCCCAAACGCAGGAAGACGCATTAAGCAGTCAGCAGATTGCAACCATGTCCAATCTATGTTGGCTAGAAAAGGGGCATTAATAATGTCGTTGTACTGGACTGAACCAAGTCGTTCCAGAGCACGTTTTCTAAGCAATCCCAAAATCAGGTTAATCGCTGGCCGAACGATATGTTCACGATTCGATTTGAACTTGGGAAACCGAACTTCTTCGTTGCAAATCTGATTCTGTTGGTACATAGGAGGAACGGATATTTAACAACTATCATTGACCTGCAATAGTGATGAATAGTTTCTAGCCATTATTCCAAAGCATTGGCAAACAATTTGGCCGTCCGCAGTTTCGTGGAAAAAAAAACAACAAAAACCTCGTTTCGTATATCCTCTAAATAAAGCCAAGCTATACGCACCTTCAGCGTCACCTCGTTCTGACCCCGGAACGGCACTCGACCAATCATGAGCTTGTAGAGCGTGATTCCTAATGACCACCAATCCATCGCTCGACCGTATGCCTTCCGACAGTGAACCTCAGGAGCCATGTAAGGTGGTGTGCCAGCAATTTCCATATCATTTAACTCCACTGCAGTTCGCCGAAAATACGACCTGAATATGACAATATGGCGTGATCACTACAGAGTGGCATCTGTAATGAATCCGCAGAGCAGTATATTTAGGCAAGCCGCTAAGAACGAGACTAGAACGAGCTTCGCTTCGAGCGCCATATGACTGAAATGACGAAAAAAAGCTTCAACTCACAGGATATGGCGTGTCGCGAAATGACCCACGCAGACCTTGTTGGTGTCGAAATCTATTAGTTTTACCCGGCCGCCAAACGAAAGTAAAGCGTTACTTCCTTTGATATCTCTATGGATCAGTCCGTAGAAGTGCATGTGAACTACAGCTGCCATCAGTTGGGCAAAGATGATCCGGCTCTGCTTCACCCGGAGACTCTGCGCTCGATCGACGACTGTAGAATTTACAGAAAAAAAAAAAAAAGAAAAACAGCTTTAATTTGGTAAAGTAAGTTAGGCATTTTTCTAAAACATTTTAGCACCCATCTGGTCACGAAGCCGCTATTAGGTTCACCGGTTCATTGCTTTTCGATGAAGATCAAATCAATTATGATTTGATCTTTAGGAGTGTTAACTAAGCAAATGTTTCTAATTATAGAAGCTATTTCTAATTTAGTATGTGGAGCACAGAAATGCTGTGGTGATCCCCTTGTGGCGCTTTACCTTTTTGCAGGTCGACGGCCTTCACGTATTCCATAACTGTAACCGTACACTTCTCGTCAACGCTGAAGACACAAAAGTACGATACAATAAATGGATGATCAATAACAGATGCCACCACACGATCCGCCGTCGCATGCTCGACTGCGCTAAAACACGTCGTCGACACGATCTTTAATGTACAAACCATATTTGCTGCAATGTGACATACGCAGGACAAATATACAGGCTCTTTATAGGCTCAAGAATCAATCGGAATTGCAATAGTTTTGCTGGATCAAGTGAAGCTTTGCAGGAGGTAACATCGCTGCTTTATGCTGACAGTACGATTCGTCATATCCGAATCTAGCGCTAACGCTATATGGCTAATTACAAAGCTACTGCAAAACAGGAGCGTTATGGCGGGATGTACGCTAATGTGTAAAATGTGAAGCCTTAGACTGAACGCTATTAGGTCCAGATTGATCTATTTTAGATAGATGCAATGATTTTGAGCGATCGCGCGCGTTACGCATATGCAAGCAAAACCCAAGACCAACGAGTTTATGCGCCTACCCGGATTATATCTCGCTTTGTAGACAGACCCGAAAGCACCGGCTCCGAGAAGCCTTTCTGGGGTGAAATCGCCAATAAGAGGGAGACAGTGAATGGCTGGTTCAGGTCGATTCTCGTACACGGCTATAGCGCTACGCTCTACACACCAGTCAGCCACTCTAAGGATATCACATGCCTCGCAGTTTCCAAGGCGAGACAGGTGCGCGGTGAGTTCACCCAGATATATCTACAAAGAAAAACTTACTTCGTTTGCGTGCTCTATTGAAGAGATAAACTACACGAAAGCGATCTTTCACGAGAAAAAGTCGAAGACCTATATCCGCACGTTCCGAACTATTAATTTTCCTGATTGTCCCAAACGAGTGCCCAGAGAATACGTGGAGCATATACAAAGTGCCGTACCGGTCACCCTTAGGTCTTTGTTTGTGCGGTCTCTATGGAACACGGAAATTATAGAGCCACGGATAGGGCCATAGCAAGCAAGGAAAGGCAAAGCTAATAAAAAACCGGGCTTCAATAGCTAGAGAATTGTGCTGAAGTTAATGAACAAACGTACCGAGAGCTGTCGAATGAGCAAGGCAAACTGGTGTGCGACGAATACATCACGATCCATACAAAGGTCGTGTAACTCGTAGAGACTAATAAACATATCCTGTAGATCAAATAGTAACAGCCGTTTGTCCACCATTTTCTCATGCATTTCCTGCACCCATAGAAGAATCTGGTGATAGCAACGACAAAAATGCACGATTTATTCAGTTGCGCCCGATGCGTCTCCAAAACATGCAGCCACACGTGGATAGCAGGTGTCAAAATTGTCCTACGCTTTCCTTTGAGATCTTTTTTTTTTATCAAATTATATCGAGCAATGCTTCGCAGGATTTGAAATCCCTCTTCTCTCGAAAATTCTCGCAACTCGGTAAATAAAACAGCAACAACAGTATCACAATACGCTATGGAATCATATACCTGAACTTACCTGCTGGTAGGAGAAATGCAGTAAAGGATCTCTGTCTGTATCAGCAGCAAAATTAGATGAGTACCAGTTCTCCAATAGAGCAGCCGCGACCCGCACAACTCTCGGATAGATCACTGTCAAGCGGCTCATCGCCGAGGCAGCCCGAACGATCTCATCCCGGGTCGCTTCGGGAACTTTGAATCGGATCAATTCGACCACTTCCTCACTAAGTTGAGCCGGCATTCACGTGAAAAAAACAGAGCCAAATGTTTAATAAATGCTACGGTCGATTTTTGTTCTTAAACGACGCCGATCAAATAGGCCCTCTGCAGCGGCCGGGATTTCCGTCTAGCCAGATTTGATCAATATTCCAATCAACGATATCCATAACATAACGCTGGTGCCGAAAAATTCTCTCGAAAAAACTCACTCGGGTTTAATGAACCGATCATCAACTCTTTCCCGAAAGTCTGTCATTCTGCCCTGTTGAGGCAGCAGGCCCTCTGCTGAACCCTCTTAGGAACTAATTTGCCAAGTTCGTTGTTTTCAGACGAGTGGCGCGCTTCAAGTCGAAGTTGGAATATCGGTTAGTGTATAGCAATATTGATCGCAGGCCAAGTGGAACTTCGATAGCGATGACGTGTCGGCGATGTGTCTAATACGGATTTGATTTCTATTCGTAGCTATGATAAACCCTTTAAAGTAGATCTTCGAAACGGGTAAGTCTTTATGTATAGCTTCTTCCTGAATATACATGTCTATTAGATACTGGCTTGTTTCAATTCACTTTCAACTTTGCGACGTGTGGCCATGACTCCCAAAGTAGTAAATTTTTGTTTTCCTGATCGCTTCTACATTGTGACTATCCGTCTCGTTGCGCAACGCCGGCCGATGGTCCACAAGTACTTCGAGGAATTTTCTGCTTTGTGCCATTTACAAAAGAAGTGTGATTCGGTTACCTCTGTGGATACAAGTAGTTCTCGAGGGAAGTTGTTGTTATGCGGCTTAAACTTGTATATTTTCGCTACTTCATACATACAGCCATTCATAAAAAGACCTATAATAACATTAAGGTGTGAATTTTGTACATGTTACACACAACTTGTCCAGACATATAAATAATAACTCATATGACGAATGTTTATTAAAAGTTTTTTGTTGCGATTTCGAAAAACCGTGTTTGTGTGAGTTGTTCCTTGAACTATTTTGTATGTGTGTATAGTATATGAACCAGGTCCTCAAAAAGACTGTATTTACACTGGTATACTTGTATAATCTATGACCTTAATGTCTGCACGATTTTAGCTAGACACGACCAAGTATCGTATGAGTTTCTTTATTTATGCTTCTACTTCTGCTGATATTTAGTTATATTTGCTGTGGTTCTGAGGTGTCTGGCCGAGCACTTTGCAAAAAAAAAGGCACAAGTCAATAGATATTTTAATTCAATATAGAAAGTATTTTTTTCTGGTTACGTTTGTCCACTTACCTCTCTAAGCAACTTATATTTTGAGTGAAAATTATTATCAATTAGCGCAGTGTTTATCACGCTATTTTCACCCATGATAGAATATACATGAATTAAGGCCAGTTATAAATAATTCGGTATGTTATATAGCCATCTTTTAAGCGGGGTTATTTCCGTTTCGCCTTTCCTCCGCTGCTGTGACTTTGTCCATGATCCACTGGTGCATTTTATCCACTCCAAACATAGTCTTGACGCTAGTACGAACGACATCGATACTCTGATTCGCGAAATCACTTAACCGATCGATATTCAAAGCCTGCCGATATTCCTGCACATCCCCTAAAAGAAATGATGTACAAAAACATCCGACTTTATTTAGTCTCTGTAGAAACCTTCGATCGGATCACCCGTTTGTGACGGGTAATTCAATAGACGGTTGAAAGGTTTAAGTAAATCATTGAATTTCGGTCACACGATAGCCAAACTAAGATTTTATATAATATACAGTTGTAAACTAGGTAAAAGGTCAATCAGTAGGCTTAGCTTGAGGGTGACGATATTTTATTATTGTTCTTTCGAGCGCATTGGCATGGCGTCCAACACGCCGAAACGGTGGAATCACGAAAATACACCAATATAATATCATTCGTTATGCCGTGCGTAGGATGTCTTGGATACATTAAGATATGTGCGAACAACGTGCCCCGCTATTTTAAATAATCGTTCTAGTTAGTTAGTTCTTCGTGATTCGGTACTGCCAGACACGCGGCCAGTATATACTTCGCCCGAGATGACGGGTCGCTTTGGTCCAAAAATTTACCTTCTGTACATAGGTCAGCTTTGTTAAACACAATCAGTAGCGGTGCGTTGGCTCCGCAGGTAAGGATGTCGTAAAGCCCAACCTGGGCAGGAGGGAAAAACTCTCGATTCGAGACATCCACAATAAACAGGACAGCATCAATGTCTCGCTCCACGGAATGCTTCGTCCACAGATTAAACATAACCCCACCAAGTTCGCGAATCGTCACCGTCATCGACTTGCGCAATCCGGGCATCAATCGAACATCAGTGATATTTAATCCTGTCGTAGGAAACGTGTGCGGCATCCTTCGGTACTCTGGGGCGGTCACTTCTTCAAGCCGTTTGATCAAACTCGATTTTCCCGAGCTCATAGGACCGATCACCAAAATCGCCATAATCGATAGGTTGTAGGCACTTCGTATTCACAGTTGCTAGTAGCTCCAGAAAATGGTTGCATTAAAATTACAATATCTGTTATTAGCCTCAGATAACATCGAAACGAGAAGTGGATCGGAAGCTGACACTCGATCGGCCTTTCCTATGGGGTTTCACTGAAGCTATCAATTCCGTTGTGGTTTAATTTTACGAACGATACTTGGAAAATTTCCTAGTCACGTAAATTACGTAAACATGTTTTGTCTTCTGAGTGAGTTCACCGGAATAGTTTGCAGAGACTTAACGTTCGAGGCCTCGGCAGGAGCAACCCGAGCGAGCTCTGAACGTTTACGAGCGTCGCTATAGCAACAGACCTAGTGAGGGTTGCCTGGATACCCTCCCTAGACTCGATGCGAACGAACTGCTAAAGTAAATTGTAAGTGATAATACAAAAGCTAATTTTGCTATGGTGAGACATAGATTTCCTTGGCATCCTTCGCCCGATATCAGCTTCAGCGGTTTTCGATAGACCTTACTGTTGATCAAAGAGTAGAATTTTTCATTCGTACCATAGATTTCATCGCATCAGGGTTTTGAACGGTTAAACATATGATCTCATGGGAACTGGAGATGCTAGCAAATAATAACTAACTTTAGTAAGCTAATTCCAAGCAAATGACGATACGTAATTACGACGATAACAGATTGGAGCTAACAGCAACGTTTATATTTCCAAAAATGACATTAGCTGATACCTTCTAATGTTTCTAAATTTTCGGACTTTTCCTTCAATATTGAAAGTAGCTAAAAGACATAAGATACCGTTTGAATTTATCCAAATCATCTGTCAGACGTTCTAAGAAAATCAGCTACTTGTTAAACGAGTACGAAATGTTTAACAAACATTTCTTCGTTGCAAAGCGTTGACAGGCATTTGTTGTGCTTAGGTGAAGCACGATCGATGCGAACGAATTGCACGTTTTTCTAGATAAATTTCTATAATAATATATATATATATATATATATTTTTTTTTAAATAAATATTTATTTATACGATGATCTGCATTTAAGAAAAGGAGAAAAATTGCTTTGGCTAGTGAACGGCTTGTTCAAATTTATTTGGATATTTATTATCTGAAACCACTTCGCTTTGCACAGTCTACGGCCGATGCTTTTAAAGGGTCGTAGATATAGCTATATAATTTGGAAAATAATAGGAAAATTACCTTAACCAAATGAGAATTTTGACTGACATATTATCCTTGAAGACATTAAACTTTATTGAGTTTAATCAGCTATAACTTAAATTAGATTGAGCTTTTTGAAATTGGTAGACAATAAAAGATTTAATTAAATTCACTTTCTACGTAATATTTACGCAAAAAATATCCACTTTAATTAGTCGGTAAAATAGTGGTCTTACAAGGTAGGTGCTAAAAACGAGAAAGCTATTTAATATATCTTTCAATATTTACTTAGCGTATTTCTATATACTCGTATACTGTTAACTGGCTTATTACTAAGTTTCTTTCAGGCTTCAGTATTCATAGGATTTAATTAGCACAGTAGGGTTTTCAGTAGTCTCAAAGGTTTGATATTACCTACCCATATGTCTTGTACAATGCCAATTGTTCTTAGATTGTCAGTGAAAAGCAAATAGGTTCATCTAGAAGCAGTGACTAATTATTGTTACAAGTAGGCAATGCTTTTGTGTACGTTCGGTCTAACGTTCTGCCTTAGAAGATCCTTTGAAAACGATTGGCGCCGACAGTTATTTGAAGCTCTATAGCAGAGTGTGTCCTACTGGACAACGGCCTGATTGGCATTCTTCAACGATGCAGCGCTAGAATCACTGAGGAATCTTGCTCTTTCGCACCAAATTGAATATATAAAGACGTGAACAGGCATATTTTCGAGAGCCGTTCCTGCCAGTAGGCGGAGTTATTATTTTTCTAGGTCTGCATATACTCGCACTTGCCGCAATAAAAGAAAAGTATACCAGTGTTGGTTTACTATTTTCCCCAAAGCAGTAAATATATATGGTGTGTTTTTAATAACATGTCTATGCGGGTTGCGCCGTATTCAATGGATCGAAGGTTACGACTTCTTTGTCATCACCCAGCTTGTACAACTTGGCACTAAAAGCATTTCTAGATGACTTTTCTGCTCGTGAGTCTCTTGCTGCCACGTCGACACGGCCGCTGATCCTGTGAACCTGCAGATAATCCGAAGACAAAGTGGGTCAGGTTTTCCATAAATATGACTACAGCACAACCAGTAGGTTATTGTGGAGATGCTATTTGCCTTTCTAGCTGTCGAAATCATAAACCGACGCTTGTCAGTGGCCGCAAGACGGTCTTAACACCGATTCAATAGCGATTTTTAAATCACGCGGGCCACATACGCGTGCTTACATACATAAAGAGGGATGTCGAAAGAGCACCGATTGTTTCCCTAGCTAGATTAGAACATATCTCAGATAATATTAGGCGCACTGGGTTGACGCGGGTGTCGTCTGAAAGCTTATATTTAGAACAATTCGCGGAAGGACAATAGTAAACTGGGCTAGTATAGTTGGATTGCTTTTACTCAGACTTAACATACATAAAGTGTTTTAAGGATAAGTGAAGCTCCTGCAAAACTGCTCTGTATATACAATGTTATTGTTATAAAGGCACAGATGCTGTTTGGAGCGAAAAAATGTTTGTTTATGGTGAATATAGTTATCGGACGAAATGGATTAAAGATGGTTGTGCCGCTTTCGTTCGATACGTAAGATGCCCCTCACACGGAGAAGCTGATATAATGATTGGAAAGATCGAACAGAACCGACATGTCAGTAAGCATGATATTGCCAAGGGACTAGGCACTCACCAAGGAATAGTTTGGGATCATTTGAAAAAAAGAAACCCGATGTTTGGGTGCCACATGAGCTGACGCAGGAGGCTGCGCTTAATCGTATTCCCCTCTGCGAAGCTGTACAGACATTGGACCATTTCTAAGGCGCTTGATCATGAGTGAGAAAGAATAGACCGTATATATTTGGCTATATATGTATATGATCATATATATATATATATATATATATATATATATAACGGTCATTCCTTTTCTTCTTCATTTTTCATACAAACTCTACTACATGGGTCACATATTCTTTCGTAAAGAATTGGTGAACGTTGTGACATTTACAGAGTTATTTTAAACAAAGCGTTTGATTAAAAGGAAAATAAATTAGGCCAACTGTGGTATGATAATATGGTATGGACGTTCAGGCCAAGCCGGTAGTCCTCCATTGCATTTAGGATACACAATTATTCCGAAATTCAAGTATTTTTGATATAGACAGAAAGCTAAACTGGTATTTCTAAGAAAACTGCCATTAGAGACGTTGCTAAAAAGAGAGATACTGCATTAATCACCACATTTCACACGTTAGTCCTATAGACAAATTTCAATTTGTCCTTTTAGTCGTTAACACATTGTTTTTCCAATTTTTTTCTTTTCCATGTGGCGGATCAATGTTTGTGAACCTAACACTTATATAGCGATTCTATGTCACTGCGATACTGTTTTATTGTATGCAAAAATGATTGCGTTACATTTCGTATGAGGAGTCTCGGGCGAATGGCGTCACGTTCTTAAACAACAGCTTGTATCGAATACAATTACTAATTTTAAGAACTTAGTGGCCCTCTGGATCGTTCCGGAAATGCTCAGGTGGCAAAATATTGACAACATGAATTACTCCATTCGTCATAATCGCTGCCATCTTTTGAAGCGTGATCTCTATTTTGGCAGATTTGTGATATTAATAGCAGGTATCGATTGTATTTTGGCAGACACTCTATGACACGGACTGAGGATTGCGGGCTCTTTCGGCCAAATGGCTGCTTCCTGCAGTTGTTATTACATATTTCTAACCAAATACTGCTGCAAACACTTTTAAATATGCATTAGCTAACTTATGTTCTGCATGTATTGGCATATGTTATAACACTTAGAAGTTAAACGCTATGGAGACAAAGCAGAACCTGACCCGAGCTTACCTGAATTTCAGGACTGCTTGCGTTCACATCAGTTGCTATCTTTGTTGCATCCGCGTGAGGCGGTGGTTGGACAAACAGGGTGAGTTTTGTGGTCTTCTCTTTTACTGGCTTCATCGTACATGACGCTCCTTTCATCGTGGAAATGAGGTTGTCTAGCCAGGCACTCATGAGAGGCTCCGATAAACGCAGCGTCAGGTCTTTGATATAGACGCCTTTCTTTGCCCCGGTCGACTGAATCAGCACATTTGGACCTGCCACCGACTGACTTTCAGTGACACTACTGCTAGGCGATGGCGGAACTTTGTACGGAACTTCCTTCGAGTCAAACGGGAAGTGTACCACTTTTGCCGAAGTACCAAGAAGGGCACCAGTGTCCGGAATCTGAGCCAAGTTCACGACGCCGGCACTTGACGTAATCGAAGGGTTGTAATTGTCATTGAAGGCGTCTAAATATGGATTACTGTATGCGTAAGACGGCTGCCGTCGCGGTGTACGTAAATCATCTGTGTCAGCGTAGTAGTTCGCTGGCGACAGGTCGGAGTAGTAAGTTTGAGGATACGCGGCCAGTCTTGAATTTCCTGTGGTTTTATATGAGATAAAAAGCATCAGAAGAGATTAGTTCGTTTGGGATTTTCTTTTTTGGTGAGTGGACAGCTGTCAAAATCTACTTTATTACACAGGCGCTTTGGTATCACGGAAGCTGTGGCAGGAACGTGGGGAAATATTAAATGTCTTATCCTGTATCTAAATGGGAGTAAACGATGTACTAAAAAGATATCGCAGAGAATTCGAAGTCCGTGTATTCACTGGCTTATGACTGCGCGCGAGAGTTTTGTGAGTTGTCGCAGCCCTTGCCTACCTACATATATCGACTAACGGTTCGATATTCCGGAAGCAAAAAAAACCAGCATAGAAACTTCATAAGGTTCTAACAGCAATACTAATAATAATAATCGACTACTTTTGGAATTACATATAAATCGTATTACCATAATAAGTTTGACACTGGACTATGACGAATGTGGCTTCAACCAGGAGCATTCGAATTGGTTGAAGCATATTAGAAAACTATGCGTTCCGAACAAGGCTAGAACTGCTGCCTAGTGAAGGGTCTACTGTAACTTTTATACCGAACTGTCGTTTTACCTGCTTTCGACTGTACGTTAATTCGAACTTAGACCTCATGTCGAACCCAACACGAATTAAGTAATGGGACCCATAAAAGGCGTGTGTTACACTTATTAAGCCGTGATGATGCCATCTAAGTTGGAAACCTTGTTAGTGACGGCTCTATCTAACGGACTGTGCATCTCACGAATTTCCGTCCAAAATTCCGTATGAACGTAATTATGATCCAAGTTCGACAAACGAAATTGAATGATACTTCGTAATCTTTCGACAGGTTTTTAAGTGGCGTTAAATATTTTCATATTATTACGTGGATTGATAGGGAAACGGAGCTTATTTTCAGTCTCTATCAAAGGCTGTAGCCTCGATATGATTGGAACACTTGATCAAGTTTAAAAGATTTTTCAAGTTTACATGATGCTATAGGTGCACCGAAGGAGGCTGAATAAACAGGCGGCTGAAGTGCAATTAGATTTATTTAAGTAAATTTAACGTAAAGTAAAGAAGCTAGTAGAAGAAGTAAAAGCTTAAATGTCGGCTCGGTTTTATGATCTCATCTATATTTCCTGTTCTGTAATCTTTCATTGATTCAAGAACCGAGCTTTTGCCTAAATATAATACTCAACTCTCCTAACAGCATACTATTATTCGTAATATGATAATAAATAAAAAAAAAAAAGAAAACCTTTTTAAAATTTTTATTAAGAAATTAAATTAAAAAAAAATATCATAGAAAAAGAAGTTCGGTTATTGTTGGTTGCTTTATATCTTATTCAGTAAGTTCAACGTAAGGCATTACAAAGCACTGGTGATGTTTTAAAATACCCCTCAAGCAGTGAGAACACATCGCAGCAGGCCAACGCACGTGAAGGTTTATAGTACGATTGTAGAAGGCTTATTATATATATATATTTAGCATGGGCCTGAATAGCTCCTCACTCGAGCGGGTTCATATGGCGACAAAGAGTCGATAAATTGAATAATAACAATACACCATGTTTAATTTCACGTAGGCGGAAATTTTTTCCTATCAGAAACACATTCATAGTAGAAACCAATACTCATTATAGATTGTTCCGCTTTCCGTTGCTCGTTTCGATCCATAGAAATTTATAGCATTTTCATGAAAAAACGCCACTTAACTTTGTGCCATTACTTAGCCTATTAAATGTTGGACCTTTACAAATACTGCGTATATTCAATTTTACAAAATAGCATATTGTTTGATAAAGAAATTTTGAACGAACGGCATAATGAACAATTCCCATTATTTACACGAGAAAGCGACATTTTGTGCAGAGTGATCGTGTCATCTATATTGGGTACAATTGATGGTGACTGTGATACAAATAGTATACCGAGCTCACAGCCCTGAAATCTTGGGTTTGATCCTTACTTCAAATAATTCTCACTGCACTACGAGCATCGGACTTTTGAAAGGGGATATTGGTGCCGATAGGTTTCGACCCAACATATTGATTTTTGTCCGCAAGGCTTACAAAAACTAGAGCAAAACACAACTTTGAATGAGATGGAGGTATTTCTTTAGGCACTGTTCGCTTTGTGCACCACATTTAGTAAGACTTCCGTAACCTTATTATTATAATTATATATATATATATATATATAACTTCATATTAACCTTGCATAATCGCAATAATTGCTTGCTGCTGCTTTTACCTTGCAAACCGCGGCTTCGCTACTAAAGTTGGTGCACACAACGTTTTCTTACGGGATTCCTTAATGCCCCTCATCTCTATTGATTATACTTATTTGAGGACCGGGCTTTGTTCAAGTCGTGCTAACTCAGCGAGCAGGGGCTACATATGAAAGGACGCCTACAGTTTCATAGTTTTTGTGGATATTTCAGATAATAAAGGCATGCAGCTTTTTCCAAAGGCAATTGTTACGAGTATTCAGATAGAAGGAATCGCCCAAGCATCCTTGGCTACTATTCGGGGTAACAGGCCATCACTAAACTAGTCACTTACTCATCTTTAGGCATCAGGTCTAATAGCTATATACAGTGCCGTACTCACATTGAAGACATAGCCAAAACTGTGTTTGATATGTATAACCTAAGACTGGGGGGTCTTCTCTGTCCAGGATATACATGAAGCTTTATATAGAATAGATATATTGCACGCACGTATGGGTCTTTCTTTAATCAAAGATATAATCTTGCTTATATTGTTTCAGCGGAATCAGAATAGATTTGGAAAAAAAAGTTTTCCTTCAATGTCGTATTTTCGTCAAGCAGACCATTTCTTCTAGCGCTACCCGCTATGTAGAAATATTAGTTTTTAATAAACTTAGTCAACATGGTAGATTTGGTAACGTTTGTCTAGTCAGACAAAATTAGTTGAAAAGTGGAGCCTGCTACTTCAGCATTTCGAAATTCCGGCCTCTTACGCTGCAAGTGATACTCTCGTCCGGCATATTGTGCACTATATGCCATAAACGTCGTTTAGCTTGTGCTATATTTCGTCTTTCAGACGTTGGTATTGTATACGCAAACCATTTACGAATCTCAGCTAGTGTTTAATATGTGCTTAATATTAGTTTTTGTGATAGTTCAATGGTGGCGTGTCTATTTACGAACCTTACGATTTATATGAAGGAAAAGACAGCGCTTTGAAAACGGTGGTATAGACAATTTCGCTTCAGCAATTGACAATAGTTAATGGCCGCACCAAGTATAAACCTGACACGCTTATTCAGGCCAGATAAGGAAGGATGTAGGTACGCAGGTCAGGAAAATGGTCGGAGTTTATGCTGGTCACAGGTAGATTCACACCCTTGGAACACCTGAACGAATACTTAAAGCCAACAAGTTTGAGACCGGCTGTGAAACATTTCGTTTTAACCATTTGCAGCGACGCTTAATGGCTGTACCAACTACAAAACTACAAACAGATATTTAGGCTAAATAAGAAAAATTAAAAATCGATCTGAACATTCGGCGTTAAAGGACAAAGCTTCGCTACTTCAGGCTTTTGAAGCGATCAATGTCGAAAGCCAGTAGCAAATGAAGAAATCGAAACGTTTGGTTCATTTCTGGGTAACCGGGTGTAGTCATCAGCTCATAACTAAGAAATTCTTTTGCAGAGGACTTGTTTTAACTTCCTCCATAGAATCAAATATATAGCATCCCAAAGAGTTGCAAGTAATTAAGAGGTAGCGATCTATTGGCCCGTCTCCTGTATAGACATGACCTTTCACCTGCATTGCCACCTCATGAACGGCCTGTGCATATTGCTACAATTACTTCTGATATTATTATCTTTTTACGGAATTGTTCTTTCCTTTATCGCCGTGGTCGTCAATATGTATTGCTTTCGATGGAGGCCACCAACTACAGCCTACTGCGCCATCCTTGCCAATATTCAATCGATACTTATTGGAAATCCCGTAAGGGAAAGGGTACAAGCTATAACCCGGTGACAAGTTTTACCTCCGAAGGTAGATTTCATCGTACTTACGAAGGGGTGACAACTCAGTTAAATTCAAGACTAACCACTGGTCTATTGTTTTACCTCACCTCAAAGGATATTGCAATGAGGACACTTAATATGAGAAGCGAAAGTTGGCTGCGGCTGTACTCCGGATGGTAGGAAAGCCTCCACAAGTGCTTCTAGTCTCGTTTCGCCTTGGTCTGCTATTCATAACGAGTTCACGGTCAACTTACACTAATTGTGCATTTCAGAGGTCTCGCCTTGACGAACCGCGCAAGCTACAGGTGTGTCATAAATGACTTATAAGCAAGCTTGTACGTAAGAGATACCAAAATGCAGATGTTTAGAACGCGGTTTTAACCGAAACGAAGCGTTCACATAAATATTGTACCCAGGGCCAGCGACACTGTATACAGCAGGTTTGGGCTGTACGTGAAACTAGGTTTGTGTGTAGACATCTATAAACCTAGGTCATTGTGTGGGTGTGTGTAAGAGAACTTTAGTTCAATGCTCTGAAAGGCACTCACGCCAAAATTTCTGTAACGTGCAATGCTTTTCGTGGCAACCTGTAACCGAATAACGAATTAGAATTATGTGATTGTTCTTATGCACAATGGACATCGCTAGTAATCGGCATCATTTGAAGGATCAGCACCTCAAATAACAATCTTGAAAGTATGCATCGCAAGTCTTAAGGGGAAGCCGTTCCATCCGAGGACGCTGTCTAGCACTGTTTCGCATTTAGTGGTCAGCTAGCTTTCGATTGATAGAGTTTCACTGGTAATGTGAAAACCACGTGTATATATATATATATATTGAGCAAAAAATGTCTTCGTTTGTTTACTTCGTGATGATATAAAAAAGCGTTATGCACCTACGGAAACTACAAGTGTTTCCGAAACATAAAACGAGCTATTTACGTGACACACTATGGCCATAATTGTTACTATAGTCATTCGTAGGTAAAACGCGACGTCTGAAGGAATGCCAAGCAATAGTACTAGAAACATGTATTCTATGTAAATTGCAACCTGTCCCCTATCGTTAACCGTTAAAACAGAACGTACATAAACGCATTTATATAACAAAAATTTATAGGTTAAACATGATGTTTAGCATACTTAAGTAAATCATTTCATAATCTGTTGAGGCGAACGGGAAGCATCGGTTGTTGCTACCGATGTGTTGTAAAAAGAAAAAACAAACATAATTTTCAGTTTTCGTGCCGTCTCTAAGAAGATAGTTGTATATCAATAGGCTTCTGTTCTTCGGTGGACCATTTCCAACAGTCTATGAAAGACGCTGAAATTTCTCTGATCTATGGTGGTAATAGTGGTATCGAAATATCGTACTACTAGATATTTTTCTGCAGCTCGTGTTTTTAAAATATCTTTGATGATTAAACAATATTGGCCGTATAATAATAATGAAGTGGATTTCCGAAGGGGATTGATGAGAAGGGATTAGTTACTGAGAAAAGTCTAGGTGCGACATCGGGGCTTTTTCTAGCATGTACTGTTTATTATATAATAAGAAATATGTAACACAGCACATATTACATATGGCATATATAATATATATGCCATATGTATATAAGTTTTTGCTATATTCTTGTTGTATGTTAAATTTTTTCCCTCGGCTGACAGCTCAAGCACGTATAACAATACGTTCGTCGTGTGTAATTTCGTTTTAAGACATATTTCCAATTTCGAAAGACATTCTTATGCAGAGCGTCGAAATCGTATGTGAAGGTACCTTACTTCAGTTTGAAAGATGATGATGATAAGTCTGCTAGACCTGAAAACGCTCTGGCAGGCAAAGAGCGTCAGGGCTTTAAAAATCGTTGTTTTCCATAGGGTGAAATATCTTATGTTGTTTGTACTTGATCTACCTATAAACTACGTTTTTTTGGAGTTGTCCTTCAGGTTCGTTTCATCTCATGGATAATTTTAAAGTGTGTAGGGACTCGGTAACGATATTTCGCGCGAGAAAGTATTCAGACGTCTACCGATACCTTGTATTCGGGGGCCGTTATGTGGGCCTCTTTTGGAAAAATAAAATGATAGCTTGGACAATCAGAATTATTCACCTGGTCTTGCAGATTGGCCTTATCGCTACTTCCGGATTCCACTATTTTCAGGTACCTATTGCGTCTCACTATTTGTATGAATCGATTATACCAAACATATCTATCGTATTTGGACTAAAAAAAAACTATATCAATAAGACATTTAGATGATTCGCAGTTCACGGTAAAACCACTGAATGACTAACTTATTTATTGAATTGTTGTACAGATTGAGGCCCCAGAGGGTCTGGACCTAAAGTCCAAGAATAACCCGTTGCATGCAGAAAAGTTCTTCATGATGCAGATAGCACTTCGAGTGTCTTTCGCCCTCATTACGTACGTCACGGGCATCGTTAAGGTTCGTCAAACTTTAAGTTTCCGTTACTAATAACTTCTCTAACCTTTCCCATTGCAAATCGATAGGCAATTATCTTTTCTTAAAATTTTACAGTAAAATAGAGCGTTGTTTGCTCGAATGTCATTGATGGCCTCATCCGTCAATTAAAGCTAAACAGATAGGACATAAAAAAAAATATAGATAATCCGTTGAGCCTAGTACCACGAATGTAGTTGGATAGCAGTATCACGAAAATCAGATCAATGTATCCTGCTGTTCTATTCAATAGAAGTCCCACATTCAAATGTTAATGCAGTCGTTCTTCTTTTGTCGTGCTATGAAGATGCACTAAAAACACCTGAACAATATATACCAGTAGTGACAGCATATGAGTTGTCGGGTCCCTATCTATATCTATCTATCAAAACTATAGCTCGACAAACTTTGCAACGTATCTCGATTGACCCTCATTGGTCAACGGTCAAGTTTATGTACAAAATTAGAAAAATCATTGAATTTATATAACTATTATTTACGTTTTTGACACATCGAATCCTCTTACGTGATCATATAACGAGATGGCTATGCGGATGTGAAAAGATTCGTTCTGACCGTCTTAAATTCCTCATCAGTCTGTTGTTTTGAAGGATAGCAAATGTTACATATGGGCATACTCGTACATATACATGCAACGCTTGTTTATATATATTTTTATATGATTTCGACCGCGAGGGCGAAGACGCATTTTTCAGCAATTGCTGCGCATATATTATTCATTTTCCATTCAGTTTATACGCATACGCATCTAGCTGTTTATTGATGATCACAGATAGATATATATATATAATAAGAAACCAAAAAATTTACCTCCCGATCCATAGAAGTAGACGTGTAAATCTGACGGAGACAGACGGGATAGAAGTATACATGTAGATATATATCATAAGTTACGCTATGATATAATTCGTGATATGTGAATTAATTATTTGCCAGGTCATCTGTCATCGCAAAATAGTATCACTTATGCTTAGTATATTTACTAACGGTATAATTTCACGGAATATCCTAAAGGTGCAAAGGTCTCGCTTGAAAATCAATCTCACCCTTATCTAAACATTGACTGGTGCTATAAAGGTGCGCTTGTACAGAGCGTTCCATTGATTCTCACACGCATAAGGAAATTGTGACCTGGTATCGATTCGTATCAAAGAAACTATATAAAACTAATTGTTGCTAGCCTTTTCATAAAAACGCTGATATTACATATGAATTCTGTTGCAGGCTTACTTGGTTATCGCTAATTCGAACACGGGGGTATTTACCTTTAATGGGCAATGTCTTTTGCAGCCTTGGTAGTACACGCAGCTAACTTACAAGCAAGCTCAAATAACTGAGGTGCAGAAAGCCTTTTCCTCTCTGCGGCAATTACAAGGTTTTCGATGACATTGCGAAACCAAATTCGTAAGGTCGAACGTACGTGGAATTAAAATATTTGTCCGATTGCACCTTTTTCTGGTTGCAGCGACCACATAAGTTTCCAAAACTGAAGTTTTGAGAAGTCGACTAATATAAATAGAATGGACTTGCTACGTCTTTACAAATTTTCGAGGAGAAAACATTTTTAGTAACCCCTCGCGTTCTTAGGACACTTTTTCAGTAGAGCCCGAGATACGACACGTAAGGTAACGGTGAATCGAGAATGCCATGCGTCTTTATATACATAAACATATTCCCTCACTATAACTAAAAAATTAGCAAAGGAATCACATCAATTCTATTGTAGGTAAGCATTGTGGGTGTTATGTCAGGCCCAACATAGTTATATTATGGATAAAGTCAGCTCTTGACATGAATACCATCGTGATGCGTATCATCTTTAGGGAACAAACTATGTTTTATTAATTGATTACATCTTTTTACCATAATATCGCCTTTTATCTGTGCGTCGATTTAAGGAGCGGAGACTTGAAGAACTACGTCAGATTTTAACGTGTCTGTACGTGGACGATAAACTACTTCGTATCAATCGCTTGTTGGTAATGTTCGTTATAGTGTTTCTTGCATCGTCGCTATCGATAGATATCTATCTTCTCTGTGACCGCGGCGACGTCTTGCCCCTTCTCGGATCCGTTCATAACTTTCCGATTCGGATGACAAGCAAGGTAGGGCCTCACAAGTAAAAATACGCCTATTTACCATTAGTGAAAGTGGCTACGAAAAAATAAGTTTCCATTGGGTGTTTTTTTAGTTTCAATTAATGCAGGCGAACTGATGTTCGCGAAGTAAGTTCGACTTACGAATCTTCAAGTGTGCGGTAAAACTGATTCATAGAGTATCTAGGGTTTATAAGAATGGTATTCTGACAGGTTCAATCTATGGACTTAGTTGAAGTTAGTAGGTGTTGTAAATAGAAGTTTTCAGCTTAGTGTTAAGCGCTTCTAATGGAACTGATCGTTAACCTATTTACCTTGGCCACCATTTGGGCACTTCCCAAAGATTTTTTGTGATCTTTTCACTTTTTACTCGCTGTTAGAAGTACTCGAAGCTCGAACAGGATAACATTTTTGATAGTAAGCAGACTGTTGACTTAATTAGCAGATCTAATTTTAGCTTAATTGTTTTTGTGTCTATGCCCCATATACAGATATCTATTGAATGTAGAGCGCTAATTAAAAAGCTTTACATCAAACCTTCATTCGGGTTACATCCAACACTTGATACAGTCCGCCGCAGTCGGAACTGAATCCAACTACTGGGTTTTCAAAAAAAACAGGTATTAATCGTTTTTACGCGAAGACTGAAGAGAATATTTATTGTATTTTAAATAACCTAACTAAATATGTGCGAGTCTGATTATTGACCTTGTGCCGTTTTTATGGCAATACCGTAGCCCCATCATTGTGGAATTTCTGAGGTCTCTAGGCGAAAATTGTCGATCGAAATTGAGTCCGTTTTATTAAAAGAGTTCTGCAAAGACCGATACAAATGATATTTCAGCGATGAAGAATCCGGGCTATATCGTGTAGGCATTCAGGTCCTCTCATTTTCTGCCGGGTAGCTAGAAATGTACGTAGTGTAGCATTGACATGGCAGAAAATTGCGCCTTTTTTTTCTGTTTGTTAGCTCTGTTTAACTTTTCAGTGGCTTGTTTCAATCTTATTTGTTGGCAAATAAAAATCCGAATCAATCTTTTTGCCAAACGATACTAACCTATAATGCCCAGTTTTTTCCGCTCCCATCGAATACGTAAGATGCTTTGGCGTCAGCCCTGGCGTCACCACAAATTATAACACATCGTACACAATTCACTTTTCATCGTCCGTGATCGACATCTTTAGAAGCGACTCAACTTTCATCAGATGGCAACACGATCGAACTAGTTTGTCGTATAGCACCCAGTGATTTAGAACTCTATCTTGGTGGATGTTTGGTCCCTTGGCAATACGATGGTGATGATTTCACCGGCCAATCTTTCGCAATCGATCAACCGCTGTGAAGAGCATTTTTGACTTCAAAATATCTAAAACGGGACCATTTTTAAGCCGTCTCTTCCGATAGTACATCTCGACCACAAATGGCAGGCATTTTTTTATTGGCCCGAATAGCATTTTCATGAAAAATATTAAAACAAAGTGATTTTTTTGTGAAAATTTTACTCATATTTGAAGCACTACACTTTAAGTCTCAATAAAGATGTTCTAAGTTTAGCACAGGTAGGGCTGCCAAATTTCGGCTCTCAAACGATCCAACACTGACCCGACGCGAGCCATATTACCTCAGATACGTGATTCTAATGGCGTCCGGCTAATAAAACGATCTTAATAATCTAACACCAAGCCTCTCAATAACCCAGTATAATCCTCACATTTATGTCGGCAGCTCTGTTAAACAATTCATAGGCGCAAGAATTACACGTTATTCAACGGATATAAACACAGCGACATATGCCTAGTTGGCCAAATCACGTTTGTACCAATACCGTAGCTGTTATTGAAATTATCATTATTTAATCAGTATTTGGAAATGTCTTGTCTGGCTCTCGTGTCAGTGCCCTGTGCTCTCAACGTACCGCTGCTCTAATCATTTTACCGTTAATTATTACTTTATTAGTCATTGGTTGATAGCAGTCATGACTCTAAATAATATATCTACGGTACCCAGCCAGGCAAATTGGGCAAGAACCAAAATAATGGGGATGCAGAATCTCGGAAAGGACTCATTTGTGGATGGAATAATTAGTATTGTTGTCTTCTCCAGTGGAAGAAAACCACGAAACCTCCTGTGGGTGTTATACATTAACTACGACAACCAGCGTGAATGCCACCTATTTACATAAGAGGTAAACCTGTTCACGCCAATGTTCCTAGACTTTATCTTAGTTCATATATAGTACCTATAACGGCGGACAATATATATATATATATATAATATGAAATTACGCTATGCCTGCAGTAAATCAATATCAGCAGTGCATTGCGTAAATGTGCTAGCTTCAGGTTAAACGTAAGCGTTTGGGCTTGTATCAACTTGCTTCCCGAGAGAAGTGCCTGCGACGTGCACACTAGAACGCTAAGCTTCTGTATATTTTTCAGTCAATTCAATTGCAAATTTTAGCGAGAACCATCTTCAAACCATGCGATAAGATCATACCATTTGTCTGGGTCGTAGTGAACACAAGTAGCTGAGAAAAAAAACGTGTTCAGGGGGCAAAATTCTGAAAAAGCATAATGCAAGGGCGCCAGTCCGAAACAGAATGAACTAAACAGTAACTTCATTGGCTAGGCTAAATACCGAGCACTTATGCCGCGAACAACGGCCGATCATGCGATCACGCATGCGGACCAACTTACCTCTTAGCTAATAATATTTTACTTTTCTTCCTTGAAGGGGTCAATCGAGTAGTTCGAGCTTTGTTTTAAAGTAATAGCGATTATTAGTAACTTCATCAGTCGGTGACACACAACGTAAAATTAGCCCCATTTGCTACCTACAAGTTACAGCGAGTGAGACGTGTGCGCAGGCCTTGAAAAGACCTAAATGAAGCCATGATTTACTCAATGTCCACGGCCGGCTCGAGTTTCGGTTCATTAAAGGGACACACATATATATATATAAGGATTTGTACATATATGGACAATCGTTTTAAAATGTCATTGATACTATTGGCAATGTAAGTAGAGCGTAACGGCTTCTCAACTGCACAGGGAAACCCTTCACAGATCCGAGGGGTCACGCTAGTTAAGACCAGAAATCAATCACGGTTGCGTTACCGACCCAATTAGCTCTATCTTTAGATACCATTTTCTCCTCTTTCAGTTGATCTACATCGCGTCAACATCGGCAGTACTTTGTATTCTACCAACGTTCTTCGTAGCATCTTGCGTCTGTGTTCGGCGTGCGATCGGCGCCATCAATGACGATGTCACTCGAGCTCTCTACGCGCAGGTTATCGATTTTAATTAATCACCACCTACTCTATACAAAATTTTAAAAGTCATTGCCAGCTTTAAAGACTACCCAGAGAAATGCTGCACTACGTCTAGCATATGGGTCTAATGCCTAGAGTTTAATACGTCTCCAAAATATAGGTATGTTTCAAGAATAACAAGCAAGCGACTTGAAAGATGAAAAAATCGTACCTTTTTCCATTGTCCTTTGTCGATAATAGGTGGACGAAAAGCGTAAAGATGAGCTATTTTTGCGACTTCGTGTTCGTTATGTTCAATTGCTGGACACACTTGACGAGCTATCTGATGTCTTTGGCCTTCAACTTTTTGCCTGGTTATCGCTGATGTTCTTCCACACTTGTGTCAAGGTCTTCCTTTACGCTAAATACAAGGTAACACACCACATAAACAGTGGCAAGACTAACCAGGCTAGCGAGATAAATTTACCTAGCGTATTAGATAAAGTAGACCGACGAAAAACGATACGACGATTGAAACCCTTAATATCGTAAAAAAGTGCCATAGATAATCGTACTTTTCAGCCTTGCGGTACCAAGCGGTTTGTGATTACCTGATGGTATCTTGTTTCTACTGCAGGACAATGTTCATTCAAATCAAACGGATCACATTGAATACATAATCGTTTCGTCGGTGTTCGATATACTGCTCTTTTCAATGTTCTGTTACGCCGGTCATGGAGTGTTCAAAGAGCGCGACAATACCCAGACATTGACCAGACGCTCCGAGTTGACGCCGTGCACACAACTTTTGCTCTTTCAGGTAAATCGTTCCTCAAATCTTGGCCTTTTGTGTGGTGGACCTTTTTCGGTCACAGCGTTTCGGTCGCCTATGAGTCCATAACACAAAGTTACTAACGATAAGTAATGTCAGTCAGGTGCGAGTAGGATTAGGCTAATCAAGCAAAAGTCGCTTTAATTTCCCTTCAATAAATACGATCGATAACCAAAATATGGAGCTCAATAAAAAGGCCATGTGGTTATTGACACGCATGGAATACTGATACTGGTTTAGCTGTCTTGAAGGCGACAAAAAAGTACTGCATTTTGTCCTACTTTACGCACAAATTAGTCGATAGAATTTTGTATTCAAGCGAGAAAATAGGCCCTAGATTTGAAATCTTCTTAAATTCAGTGTACTGAGATAGTATTCTATGATAGCCTTTTTTTTTCTACTTTCCTTGATTTTCTAATTCACTATTCTCTTTAACAGATGGACCTGCTAAACTCGGATGTAGATTTTGGGGTACGAACGGCATCTGGTCACAACATGAATTTGCAGTTAGCTTTTACGTTAGTCGGAACGGTCACTACATTTGCTATCGTTATAATCCAAATTTACATGTCTTCTTCTTCCGTGCCGTTTGCAAACAACATGACCTTGACCACGATAGCCAACGCGGTCGGGATTTCCTCGCCCCCAGCTACTTCATAATTTACAATGGCGTCTTTGTATCAATAAGATCATTTTTATACATACGGTCTGGACTTCTGGAGTCGAAGCTGGTCTGACACGGTCTCGAGTTCGTCGTCGTGGAAGTAGAGTGTTGTTCAGATGGGGGGCCGAATGTCGCAGAAAATCTGTAGACATGTATATCTGAGCTTGGCAACAATCATTTCCCTCAAACATAGCCAGCTGAAATCATCCTAACATACATAATAGATGATTGGCAAGGACTGAGTCGGTCACTCCGAAATGGGCAAACATATTTAGGGGGGCAAGTGGAATCATTAATTCGTCTGCAAATCAGTAAACGAAATAAATAATACTAGCAACTGCAAAAGTATAGATAGCTGCTTTCTGTAAAACGAGAACGACTACGGATTGCCAATGTAAGAATGAGCAGCTCGAAAGAACTGCAAGCTCCACGCTCTCGTAGATAGCAAATAACTGTAGAAGGGCAGCAGTGACACGTGAAGGTCAGGCAACTGGGTAAAACACTATCTAGTAGTTATTGAATGTTGTATTTTTCGCAGTCTGTTCCGTATTCAACAAGAGCTAGGTGTGCCTTGCGCTTTTTGTTAATGCCTCATGGGCTTCTCGGCGTCATTCCATTTAAGATTCTGTATTGGATCTATCATACAGGATATAAGCTCCACATTGTATATTCGCTAAATACGATGCGCTAAACAAAAGGTATCTTCGCAAAGAACTTTGTTGTTCATTGTCATTACGGCAGTAAAAGAACTTGGATGACTGACAGTTATTTTGAATGTAAATTACAGATACTATCTATGCCGCATCGGAAGCAACTTCTTTAAATCCCAAGTCAATTAAATTGATTCTCACATAATAATTTTTTAAGTTTTGTTTCGGCATGCTACAGGTGAAACAATAGCTTGCAAACCAATACGTGGGGCAGTTGGGGTGTCTGAACTCTACGATACGCAGGGCAAATATTTGTTGATCATTTGACAACGATGTACATTTTACATCTATCGAAGTAGCAAAGTATACGAATATTATTTTAATTATTTTTACACTGATTCGCTAAACTAGGTATATAAATGAAATCAAAATTGCGACAAACGAGCTACGTTGTGAAAATAAATTAAAATATATAGCATTATCGGAATGATTTCTGTTTGGCCGGGTTTGTAAAGACAAATAATGTGTAACAACAAGGGCACGTATTGCTAATAGAAGCTAGTGTATTTGAAGTATTTCAGCGTATAATAGTAAATGAGAGTAGGTCGACCACTGAAAAGATTTCCGAGGCCATTTCGTAAAGTGTACACTTGAAACCATAATGCAAAGAGACAATATGATATTATTCCTTAAGAAAACACCTGTGAGCCTGAAATGCCTCATTTCTATGATGTGAGCTTGGTTGTTGGTTAGAGAGGCTTTTACATTACGAGTTATTTACTTTATACAATGTTAGTTTACTTTATGCATGTCCTATCCGTCCTTGCTGGAGTTATCTAAGGCCTTTCCGTCAGATATATGGAACGACACGGTAAGCATACAAGCAGCTGTTAACATTAATAGTATTATTAGATTTCTTCTTCTTACTCGTCCCCTCTTTTCTTAGTTATTAATATTAGCGATAAGTTTTGCTAGCGCTGATATCTGGTCCATCGTGGCAGCATGGTCGCAGGCCACAGTCACTGTAGCAAGCAGCGCGCAAAACGGATTCGAATTAGGCAGCCAGACTACGCTGTCACCTGTTAGTTAATTAACTTACAAAGATGTATATCATTTATGTTTCAGGTATGATTTTGGGATCTACTGAGTAACGTAAAGTAATACATTTATCTATTTCCCCGAAAGGTGATCTCACACCCCATCCGTGAACCCTGTAAAAATCATTATACAATACAAGCTGCTGTAACGGCTGTATAAGGTTCCGAAAATCAGTAGAGACCAAATTCAGGCACAAATTCGTATCCTCGAAAAGTCTAGTAACTATGATACAGAGAGCTGTTCCTTAGATTTTACATAATTTTTTATGTAACATACGCCTAATAGATGTTGCACCGAGATTGCTTGTCGTACCTATACGACACCGTTGAGAACAGTGTTTTGTCTTTATTCAAAAAATTTTGTTTCTCATGGCACTAATGGAACACTCTAGACAAATCGGATTCCGAGTCGCGTTTCGCAGAAAGGACATCTGATTTGGGGCGATCCTATAACACTGCCTTCCTTTCTTTTGTTTTCTCTACCCAGTCTTTTCTTTTCAAGGTCTGATCGTCTGACTTTTCCTGAGAGAAGATTTACTGTTTTTCATGCCATTACCGACACCTCTCATCTCTGATCGCTCACTTTAGCCATTCAGTGGGCACCCACCAACTTACAAGGCCTGCCGATTAACGCCGGCACCTGTGCCGTCTGCTCCCGCGACTGCTGTGTCATCTGCTCTTTACTACCGAGACAAAGTACAATGCCTCTCTTCGTTAGATCCGTGATGCAACTATGTACACCTATGCTACTAGATTCATCTGCACTGAGTCCCTTCGCACACAAAATGTTCGGTGCGTCTATATGTGTGTGTTATCTTGGCTACTCAACTGTCTAGTCTGACACGCAACAATCAAAAAAAAAAGATTTCGCATACGAGAAGCAGTAGAACAGGGCAAGGAACTGAGCTCACAACGTCCGCCATTGTCGCATGATTCCTTTTTCCTTTCTATTTGCCGGTAAAGTCCAACCCGCTACAGTTTGTGTATTATCCGAACTGCCGTCTTCGCGTCAGACATTGCCAAATTTAACCTTTCTCAATGGCACCACTCTCTATTTTTTTTTGCTCCGCGACTTTTCTTTCCGTGCTGCCTCTCCGCTGATCCGTAGCCCGTTTTCCCTTCACGCTGCCAGCGTCTTAATTCAGCGTTCATTTGCGTCTTCTTTTTCTTCGAGTGAAAACCCAGCGAAAATCTTCATTTTACTGTAGCTCAGTTGTTGACAGCCAGCTCCAACATTAATGTCATCACTACGGTGGGGTCATCCTCAGACGAATCACTACTACTCTGATACAATATCGCGTAGCGAGCAAAACGCAGCCCGCTGAGGGCTTCCAGAAACGCCGGGCAAACGCGTCAATAGAATGTGGTCGAGACTCAGTTTTCTACGACTATGATTTCTGGTCGCGTAAGAGCGTACTTTTTTCGTTTTTACCACCCTCGTTTCTTCTTCGTGTTCATTCTGTCCATCTCGTAGTTCTTGCGGTGGTGGCAGAAAGGCGCCCCTGAAGACTCAGCTGGCAATTAGTGACTGGAAAAATAGCAGTTCGGGCAGGAGCAGTATAATCGCTACTTCCCCCAGACCTTAACGCGTCTCGACATATGATCACTATCATCCCTTCTCATTCACTTCGCTTTCAAAGAATCTTTCTAGTTTCATTTTCGTTCGAGCAGAAATGCACCAACGCCGACGTCGTCTATGAGCCGTGTATACCTACATATGTGCGAGTGAGTTGGGACAACGTCTAACGCGGCAGTGATTCCCATACAGAAGCAGCGAGCGAAGAGACAGCGAGTGCATAGTGGATCATGTACGTTACGGGGAGATTAAAGCAATTCTTGCTCAACGGGAGGTGAACTTCGCGCTGGGCACGAAGAAAAGATGGTCAACTTAAAAAAGCGAGAATGGTGGTATTCTGTGCATGTGGGTGAGGCTAAGATCCAGCCTAATACCCGCACGTCGAAAGAAAAATCCTGTTGATTGTAAGGCATCATGGAGAATTTAACCAAAAATTGGCTTTGCGACTAATGTTCAGTAAATGAACGCCTATGGGATTGTACGGTAAAACCAAGCTGAAAATTTGTGAAAGCTATTATTAGATAACTATACAGATTTTTTATTTAGGACTACGTTTAGTTCAACAAGCCCCATACGACCAATCGAAGGTCGTGTTCTCTACAATGGCTCTTATTTCGAATTTGACTACGCTTAGTGGGAAATATTGACGGACACAGGGAAACAAATCGAGAAACGAGGTCTATAACTTCTTACAGAAAAACTTTAATGCTATTGAAGTGGGTGGTAATCTTACATAATTTGTTGCTCTGGGTCTCTTTTCTACTTATGCTTTACATATGATTCGACGTTTTCCTTCAAATACGCTGTGTTTTAGGGTCATTGCAATATGTGTCTTACGTCCAGATATACTTTTCTTATGGCAAAGTGGCGAATCTAGCATAAGTATGTGAACGAAATCCTATATTTCAAATACACTACCTCGATTTATTTTTTTCAATTAGAAACTTTTTTTTTTCTTATTTGCTCTTTATTATTGAGTACGTCATTAGCTATAAGAAATATTAAATATCTACATTAATAATTACACTTCTAATTTTGCCAGTAATCCTAGTGGTAACCACCATTATAAAATTAGTTTTTCAGCTAACAGTAACGTAGGATAGAATTGATCTATTTGTAGTTAGATAACTACAGCGTGTAGAAATGCGTATAATTCAACCCCTTATTCCGCTGAGCTACGATTATTTCCAATGTAGTGAGGTATTAGCAGCAACAAATATAGTATAAAGTCGTTTATCACGGGCATTATCGACAGACCTGTATAACGGATCGCTGAATAAGTGCAACGCTAACAAGACGCGATCGATTTACTAAACATTCGAGCTGGTGCTTTGTTTCCATTGGTAAAGCGCAACCTTTTTCCCCTTTTTTTTTTTAAGGTAGCTGTATTAAGCTGTGTATTATATAAAGAAAACAATGACTACGAACGCTATTGCTAGTAACAGCAAGCCTTACCAGAAGCATATCTAAGTAAGCGAGATAGACGCGTCATTCGTGCATTCGTGATGGTGGATGGCAGTAGTGACTAGCCAGTCTCACCTTAATGTCGCCGTATGTCAACAACATCTTGGTGTTTCTCCAAGGACTTTAGGGACTATAAATCTAACGCTGGGAATGTAACAACTTTTGCCAGGAGTATGACAGGTTGAGTAAGGCGGAGAATGTTAGACAGGTGAAAACGGGAAATGGGACAAGGACTTTGCCTTCGTCTATTGTCGATAGCGAAAATACCGTTGACGATCAAAAGTGAAAATAGCAACAGGTCAGCGACGTAGAAGAAGCGTGCCACTGGACCCAACAGATGAACGCAGGCATCCCATCCGGCCGGCGGGCCTTCTTTGTCAAAAGTGGTCCCTGCTGTTGGGGACAGGTTGACATCAAACCCACCCGTTAGACCACCCTAAAAACCTTTTTGACAGTCACAGGCTAGCGTGACACGTAAGTTAGTATGGGAAACGTCTTTCAGAACCCTCAGCGGGCGACAGGTAACGAGGTATGAGTCTATACGGCTGATTCTGCATGGTAAACGGCCCGAGGCCATCGTCCACTTCGTTTATTACTACTATACCGAGGTAGCAGCTTCTGGATAGCTAAGGCATTCAACCTGGCCGTACGAAATAATAATGGCATTGTCGTCTACATGAGTTCCAAACTGCCCCTTCTACACATCGGAAAAAAACTACCTAGTTGTATATTTTTCATGTCATATCTTTGTAACGATTTAGTACGAATCAGGAACATGTACCTACATATGCGTAGATTACAAAAACGCCAAGTTATTATTCTAATATTGATGTAACTCTATTTTTTCCGACGAATGTTTCTGTAAGAAATATTTCGGCGGTCAGAAGCAATTGCCAAGAGTAGCGTATATTTTCTCATTATAATATGGGTCGAGCATCTATCAAATAGGGTCTTCAAAAGCTCACAGAGTTTGTATCATGCGACCATTTTGTCTTCATTCAGCGTAGTCGTTGACTCTATCTGGCCTCCCTTGTTCTCCTTGGACATCTTTAGCGGAGAAGCTTTCGGGGAAGCAATAGATAGACGGAGTTAACCGGGCGACCCAAGCCTCGATGTTCTATCGTCGTTAGGCATGGGGTTCAGGCAACAGCTGTGTCTAGTCAAGCGAATACGTCTTCTTTCCAGGATTTCTTAACTCTACATGCTTTTTTGACTTTCTCAGGGTGCTGGGGGAGGTAACGGATTTCGAAGTTTGAGCCCCTCTACCTTCGATGAGGGCTCATCTAGGATATATGGAGATGC